TTTTAATGCTTATAAGCTGGCTACATCTGTTTATAAAGCTCTGATAAAATGTCACAGTGGTTTATTAACTGAGTATAATTTGTAATTTATGTCGCTACTTTGAGTTCTGGTTGCTTTTTCTAAATAATGCTGTCTTGTCAGCCTGTTTGGGTCGGACATTTTTCTAGTTTATATTTATTGAGTTAAGGATTATAACAACACAAAATAAAAGGCATGGAAGATATACGTCTCTTTATATACATCCTCTTTTCCAACTTATTCCCGAACTAACACAGAAGACATTCTCTGCACTTACAAAAAAAAATATAATTTATATATATATACATAAGTCAAAGAAGTCAATCAAACAATCTGACCAAACCAAACCAAACAACAACAAAAAAAATCCAACAAACAGACAGATAAACAAAAATGAAAAAAGATAAAACAATACAAAAATAAATAGATAAATAAGTGTGTAAAGGTTCACAGCATCACAGTTCTCTGGGGTAATCAGGTATGTTGAAGAGATGGTGGCATACTGAGCACATAGACCTACATGGAGACCTCAGTTCATGCTCGTCCATTGGCTGGTCATATTATTAATCAATCAATTAATCAGTTTGACATTTTGGTAGATATGTTTATTTAGTTTCACACCGAGAGTTTGATGAAAAGATTGATAGCACTTACGCTATGTGTCCGATAACAACCCAATTGCTAGAGACTTGTTTTTGCATTGTACATTTTTGCAAAACACAGACACAGATATTTTGTATTGGATATGTTGAAAATTACCATTTTTCAACAATGCTAAACTGAAGATGTGGTTTTAGTTTGGGCACACAAATAGTTATGGTTAGAAAGAGATCATGTTTTGGCTTTAAACACCCACATTTGTGGCGTAAGAGCTACTGGAAAAGCTGAGATGGGTCGGTGAAAACACCCAGGCTTGATGGCTCAAATGCTGCTGGGATATGCAGAGATGTGTCAGTGAAAAACACAAAAGTCAGCGTATATATTACATCACTTTAGAAATGTCATTACGTATAAAACATGCAAATTTAATGTATTCGTGGTTTGCAGAAATGTAATGCGAACATTTTCTTCTGGCAACTGAGCTGCTGATAAATGCAAGTCTACAGTTAACTGGTGAGTTTTAGGGCACTGGTAGTATTTATTTTGAGTCTTTATGCTAAGCTAAGCTAACCAGTTGCCAGACAGACATGACAGTGGTATCAATCTCTTCATCTAACTCTCAGCAAATAGCACATTTCCCCAAATGTCAAACCACTCCTTTAAACTGGAGATTTCCCAGACATGCTCTAAACAATATCTCCTGATTGCACCCAGTTCAACATCCCTCTTCAGGTTCCACTTATGAAATGACTGGTGTGCCTGTTTAGTATTGAGGTGGGGCCTGAAAGCTGAGCCAGCTAACCTTTAATCAGAACCCCTCATTTCATTTCACTGCTGACATTTCCTGCATATTTATGCACAAATACAGGTGGAGCTGGAGGCGACTGCAGAGAAACAGGAGAAAGAAGAAGCCCCTGATGCAAAACCAGGGGCACCTGAGGCCTCGGATTCTCCATCTGCACAGGGTGAAGGCGAAGAGTCTCCATTAGAGGTCCGTGGTGATCAGGCCCAACCTGGCAGCGCCACAGATGAGCTACAGCAGCATGAAGAGAGGAGGGAACAGGAGGAGGAGGAGACCCATGAAAAGCCAGCTGGAGAGTCCCACCCTTCAGCGCCTGTCGGTGGCGAAGACCCAGACAGTCTTCAAGATTCTTCTCAGCAGCATGAAGCCCAGGATGCAGAAGAGTCCAAGCAGCCAGAACACAAAGAAGCAGCCGGGGATGGAGAGATCCAGGTAATGGCAGGCTCAGGGGAGGCTGCTGAGGAGATCGCCCACCCTGAGGAGCCAGAGCTGGGCAAGAGTCCACCGAGCGAGGTCCAGAGCCAGGAGCTGGAGGCCCCCGACATAAAACAAGAAGGCACTGAGTAGAAACACAAATATGGCCAAAATGTTGCACACAGCATTATGACAAAGTAGTGTCACAGCCTGCAAAGCTTGCACCAGCTCTCCAGATGCATTTTAGTCCATAGGTAACAGCCATATAAAGCATGCTGTCTTTGGAGCTCCAATAAAGCAATAGCATGTGAACATCTTAAATAGTGTTGGTGTTACTCATTATTTCTACATGCTTTAACATCCTCTCAATTCTAAAATTGATGTGTGAATTTTAAACCGTTCATGACTGATAATAATCACAGCATCATATCCGCAAGCACCTCTGAAAATACGTGAGGGCAAAATTAAAAAAGTGATTAATTATAATGCCGTGTCAGCCAACAGGTTCTGACATTAATCAGATGCTATACGTTTGCACAGCTGTGCATTAGTCACTTCTACATGAGTAACTTGTCCAATTACGCTGTTGCCATGGCAGCACAACTCCCATCTAATACCAATAAATACAACAGTTTGTGGGAGCTGGCACATCACACAAAGCGGCGCCTTTGCTCAGCTCAAACTGCGGAGGCCTTTTTGTTGTTTCCACAGTGTGACTCCAGTTTGGAAACTTTTTCAAAAACTGATCATCCCTCTTGATTCCAATACACAGAGAAGATTACATTATTTTGCATCACACAAGATGCAAAGGAACTGCCCCAATTTTTTTTTTTGCACTTGTATACAAAAGCTCTGGCAGTGCTGCCTCCGTGTGTTCGGTCCATTCTGCAGCACACAGCAGTGCCAATCTTACCCAGCACTAAGCCCTCCGCTAATCTGCTGCCCAATTCCTTCTGTTATCCAACAATAACACCACAGACTCCCTGGATCCCTGGTACCAGGCCAGTGAGTGGCACGGTTCTCAATAAAAGACACAGATGTTAAGACACACTGGGAGATTGGCTGGACATTTTTATTGCGTCAGCCAATACAAAGATGTTGACAGAAAAGAAGGCAGGAAACAAACGTCTTTGGCAAACAAGTGAGTCCGTCCGCTCCAACAATCATGCAGCCATCTTCCTGAATGCTCAAATAGAAAAGAAAAAATGCAAACCACATTGCAAAAACCTGGAACACTTCAGATTATTATTTATAATGAATTGGCACATATTGAAGTATATTTACAATACACTTAGGTAGAGTACAGTATTAATGCACACAATTCACCCTCTAATGTAACGTACTTTCGTCTCTTGTAAGTTTAAGTGACATTCATTAACTCAAAAAAAAGATAAACAACCGGAGGACTGAAGGCACTCAAGTGAATAAAGGCACATTTGTCATTTTTTTAAAACCAAAGAAATCACATACAATACATTTGATGATGCGTCTGTTCCACTACATTAATTGCATGTTAATATAAATAAAAATAGAAATTTGATTCACATACAGTGTCATATTAACGTACTGGATATTGCTATAAATCATAATGTATCAGTGGCCCAACAGCTCTCGCCTAACCTCACAATACACCCACACATAATATTAAAGCTGCACAAGACAAGTTAACACATGGAGCGCTCCTGTTTGAACATTTGTGATCTTTAAAATAAAAAAAACAGACATTTAAAAATACTCTCTGCACTTGTGAAGATAAACCTGTGATGGTTATAGATGAGAGGCACAAACTGGAGCTATCAGAAATGATGAGGCATCTTATTATCAAACCAGCTGGTCACCAGCTGGTCTGTTTTAACGTTTTAATAAAATGCATCATGGGAAGTGAAAAAAACATTTTAAGTTTCAAGTTCTTCTGGACCTTTGTGTTTTAGTTTTATATTTGACATGAAGGAGAAGTGATATACCTGAATTTCATTTGTGCAACAGGGCAACTCTAGAACACCTCTGTTATATATATATATTCACACATGCTCAAAATGTCCCCCCAAATATACTGATTAATTAAAAAAAAATGCTATGCTATGACAGGAAACTGCACTGTGAAATAATCACTAGCAAATGTCATCATGATTATAAACAAGCTCAACAAATTACCATTGTTGTCACTATCTGTTCTAGTTTTATGGTTTACTGCAGTTCTGTGTGTGGTTTGTCCGAGTGGTGTTGCCGTACCTCAGCAGAACCCATTGCTTAACTGCTGTGGGTAAAATCAACGTCCTGCCTCTGTATTTCATTACTTTAAAAAAAGGAAAACTAGAGTGCAACATGAGTGATGAGAGTTAAAGTGTCAGTCATTTATGTTGTGCTGCATGTATAATGGCATGTATGTAGGCAGTTGTAGTTTTCATTTATTGCATATTTGATTTGATGTTGACTCTATGGCTAAGTCCTTGGTGAGGAGGCTCTTTTGCACACAATAAAACTTTTCTTGTGCAGCTTTCATAGAGTGCAGCAGGAACGAATCCTAAAACCCAGAAATGAGTCAGCATTTTTTCCACTTCCAGTTCCCTCTTCTCAAGGTTGATTTTTTTAAAATGGGGTTTTCAGTTACATGTAAATGCCCCACTTGTTAATTTCAAAGCTTTTGTATTTTCTCAAAAAAGGCAGTCGCTAATAAATGGCTAAAAGAGACTTACTACAGAATATCATCCTGCTGAACACGGCCTATTGTAGTGGCGACATTAAAGTTGTGCGACCGTCAGTAGCAATCATGGACAAAGATGTCCATCGAGGCCTCAAAACCCCATTAAATGCATTCAGTCCAAAAATGCATTTGGTTAATTTCCCAAAAGACGTAATCATTCAACAGAAAATGATAAATAACACTGCTTGTCTGAACACACCTCAGTCTTTGAACATTCACCTGTGCTCACCTGGCAAGGGGTCGCAGTTGGTAGGGTTTTGGGGCAGTGGTGCACAGTATAGTGCTTTTATGGGAGGTTTAAGGGGTTTGTACAGTAGTTCATTCATTTTCTGTAACCACTTATCCTGTTGAGTTTGCAGGGGGGCTGGAACCTATCCCAGCTGACAATGGGTGAGAGGTGGGTTACACCCTGGACAGGTCACCAGACTATCGCAAGTGACACAGAGAGCACACAGACAACCATTCACACTCACATTCACACCTACGGACAATTTAGAGTCACCAATTAACCTGCATGTCTTTGGACTGTGGGAGGAAGCCGGAGTACCTGAGGAAACCCACACTGACATGGGGAGAACATGCAAACTCAAGGTGTTCGAACCAACAAGGAGTCCTCTTGCTGTGAGGAGACAATGCTAACCACTGCACCACTGGGGCGCAGCTGGGTTTGTAGTTGTCATTGGAAAATGTACCAGTATCAGTGGCCATCAGGGGCCCTTTCCCAACTTTTTAGGGGAGCCCCAAACATACGTGTGGTTTGTCTCTCCTGACGGTGTGGCCCTGGTGACTGTGGTATAGTTAGCTTTGTGAGACTGGAGACTGCATATTTTCTCTGGAGAGTGCTTATTTTGCTAAACAAAACGTGCAAGTTTCATAAACTTTTGTTTGCCACTGAGCTTATTTCCTGTAATAATCTAAAATCCAATGAAAAAGTCACATTGGCTCTTTGTTGAGGGAACCAGGGCGATGCTAACTTCTAGGTTAGCCTATAAATAAACATCATCCCTGCAGCACTCTATCAGGACGTCAAACACTTCCCCCTGACATATTTTACACATTTTCAATCCAGGTGTCTAACAACATAAAGCTGAAGGCCACACATGTCATTATCAAACTTGTAATCAACTGTGCAGGATGATTTGTTATGTTAGTGAGGACATGGGGGAGTGGGGGTTAGACCATAGGGGCCTCTTGGGGCTTGAGGGGCTCCACCTCCTGTGCGTCTCCACCCTGTGAGCCCTCGTTGCTGAAGAGGTAATAGGGAGGCGTCTGCCGAGCTTCGATGATGAGGACGCCCTCGGGGGACAAGGAGGCGAAAACGGTCAGAGGGTCCACATCTATCGGGATCCTGGAGAAACACAAAGACAGCGTATCTGGTTTTTATGCAAGGATACAAGTTGAGATGTTCAGAGGAGCAAAAAGTTTACTTGGTGGAATGTCTGTAAGCTGCTGTGTGCGTTCAGAATGATTAAAAGCACAAGTGGGAGGAACAAAATAAGGAGAGCGGTGAGGAGAAACAGCCGAGAGAAACGGTTCACTTCCTGCTTGGAGGTCATGCAAAACTGTGACATTTTCTTCCATAAGAGCTGCTGTGCAAACATTGTTAAATACTGGGATTTTTTTTTATTAACACTTTGTCAATCCCAATAAACAGCCTGCAGTCGGATGATCTTAGCGCTGCATGTCTCGGGGAGAAAAAAAGACTTGGCTCATGATTTCGACTGTTATTAAAAAACGTTCACCCCGTCCTCCTTGGCTGTAGCACTCATTCTCGACTCACAGAAACTATCTCGCACCCCGGAGATGAACTGAAAGCCATCAGGAGTTTTCATTAAAAATCCTCCAGCTCTGCGGCACAGACAAGGGAGAGAAAACACACAGTGGAACCAGGTGTGAGTTAAAATGAAACCTGATTCCAATTAATGAGAGTGTCTGTCTGCAGGAGTTTAACACCTGTAAATTTCCTTCGGTGTATACTTTCCTAATCTGCTGTTCTCGTCTGTCATATAGGCAACAGCTAATGTTGTATCTGCCATTTTTTTCTTCCTGTTTGCTTCACGTTTTGACACTTCTCATGCTGAAAATGTTATATTTTCCAGTACAGTGTGGGTAATTGGCTTCCAAGACTTGCAGGAAGATAAAGCGTTGATGGAAAATCAGCTTGAGCTGCAGGGTTTACTCCCGTGAAACTGTATATCCACTTTAGGAACCATTATATTTAATGATGTTAAATTATCAAACTGATCGGTATTTAGTGTATCAGGTTAACTTCAAGTTTATTTCCAAAATAATACACATCACTCTGGAATTAAAGGCCTCCAAAGCTAGAAGCAAACACAGAGATCAAGGCGAACGCTATTCATTGTCCAGACAGTGTGGCCAAATATGGGTATAGGAGGTTTTCTGTGTGAGCAGCCAAGTGTCTCTGGGAGTTAACATAAACATCAGGCTGCCCTGCTCAGACGAGGAGACTGTGAGTTTACCCTCCATTTAATTAGACAGGATCCTCCACTGGCTTCCCACACCACTGAGAAATACAAGTCAGCAGGGACTGAAAACTTCAGCACAGAGACACAGACAGACAGGAGGTCAAGTCAGGTCTGTTTGTGTGGTCAAAATATCACATTGAGCTCTGCAGTTCCACTTCAACAACAACCTCCTGACCCAAGTTTACCACCAAGACTCAGATGGCTCGGGATGCAAAAGGAGCCGTAGGTGGGAAAAAGGCAATTACAATGAAATAGAGAATGTTGTGACAATAATAGAAATACAGAGTCTTACAGTAGGATTATAGTGAATCCAATTTAGATAGAACAAGACCAATAAAATACACGCCTGAAGAGGTAAGTTGCAGGAAGAAGGTCTTAACAGCGTTCCAAGAAAGATGGCAGTCAGGAAAATGTGGGGTTGGGTGGAGGGTAAGTGGACAGGGCAGGTTGGAGGAAGTGTGGGGAGGAAGGTTAGCTTGGAAGATGGTGGAGGCCCAGAGGTGAGAAGACAAACAATCACCACCACCACAATTCACTCATTTTTATGGCAGGCTTTTCTAAAAATAGAGCAATTTTTGCGATGAACTTTAACAAAAATATATTATTCATTGTCAGATTACTGCTACTTTTGGGACATTTATTATACAGTGACAAATTAAATCACCCCATTCTACTTACAATCAAAATATTGACAGAAGACTAAGTGCCCTTTCTCACACCTGGCACAACGCAGCACGCCGCCCAGTGCAACTGTCATTGCGAGGTAACTTCAGACCGATGCAGCTGTCATTTTCATGGCCAGTGTCCACGTTGTGTAAGCACTACTTGCGCATGTCTGTGCTCCTATGGGTGCGTAGGTCTTAAAATGAGATGTGGTCAGGTGATTTGTTGCCTTGTTGCTATGTTAAGGCAGCAGAACACAACAGCACAATTGACCAACAACCGCAGTGTTTTCCTGCAATTTAAAGGCACATTACGTAGATAGTAAAATGCGCCAACATAGGTGGGTTCACAACACCTGTACACTCAGCTTATTACGCACACAGGGACGTGCAGATAGATTGCAGGTGGGTGAAATATCACTTCATTGATGAGGTAGTTACATACTCTAAAATGTGAACATAGCAGAGATCAGAGCAGAGCTGCCTTTATGCACAAGGACTAGCGCATCTTTACTGACTATTTCTGAAGCTAAAAGTTTAGTTGTCAGTGAAGATTCTCAGTCATCCAGGTCATGGTAATCATAAATGCTATATCGTAGGCAACTGGACTTGCTTGAGTTTCTTGGAGACGTTTCACCTCTCATCCAAGAGGATTCTTCAGTTCTGACAGACTGGAGCGGAGTCACAGGTTTTAAAGTCTGTGTGGGTGTGAACCCTGACAGAGTCGTTGGGGTTACATGTGAGTCGTTGATCCACCTGGCCATTGTGTGTGTCATTAGGGTTAGATGGGTTCAGGTGTGAATGGGTGTGAAGTTGTCTGGGGAGGGATCCCGAGACTGCATTGCAGGTGGGTGATAAGTGGTGTCGTAGGCCACCTCCTCTATGTAAGCAAGTCCAGCTGCCTACGATATAGCACTTATAAAAGTTTAGTTCTGTTTCCTCTGTCAAGGTTAAAACCACAGTTTTTAGTTTTATTGTTTAAATGTCCCACGATATTTGCTGCAGTGACATTACTGTTCCTACTACGCTGCTCCAATTTGCAGAATCCGGCATATAAATAGCAGTGCACCAGCTGCAGGCACACATGGCTTTTAAGGGGAATGGGAAACGACACTAATTAAGGGACTAATTACAACCCCTTTGCCCCTTGCACCTCACTGTGTGCTAGATTATGTGTCATTTAACCAGCAAAAGGGGCGTTGGACACTCCCTAAATGCACTTGCACCATGTACTTCAGACCTTGAGCTATAGCATGTAAATACGACCCTAAGAATCTACAGCCATGTTAGTGGCTCCATTAGACACAGCAGTGCTAACATGCTGATGTTACATAGGGCCTAATTCTGCTGTTGTGCTTTGTGTCTCCATTATCATTGCAACTTTTTTGCTTTTTTATTTTGTAATTCCCCTTTTCTTCATCTACTGCTCCTATTGCGTCCCACTGCAGGGCACACGTAAGCGCGCTGGCAATATCAATTATTTTGTAGAATTTGGATGTAAACTAAAGCAATTATTTGAATGTTGAACACCACAAAGGAAAAATTAAGGGAGTTATTAAGGAGATATTGCAATTCTTCCTGCAGAGAACATGGATGTCTGCACCAAATTTCATGCCAATTAATACTAGAGTTGTTGAGGCATTTAATTCAAAACCATTAATGCAAAACTCATGGATGCGCTATAGAGATAGAGGAAAAGTCAGGGATCACATTGGGTGAGATTGACCCTCTGTTGACGATGAGTATCTGTACCAAATTTCATGGCTATCCATCCATTTGTTGTTGAGATATTTCAGTTTGGACCACAGTTGTTGATGGACTGTGTGACACTGGCATTCACAGAGCCTGACACAAGCTTGGCTCATAATGATTTGCACTGATCAGTCATATATACTCACATTTTTGAGGAAAAAACAAATTTAAAACCAGTATTTAGAGCTGGTGTAAGCCAGTACTAATGTTGAATATTTTCAATTTTCAATTTCCAACTCTAGCCACACACTCATACACACAGGCTGACACATGTTTCAGTATCTGTCCCCCAACACTTTCCTTCAAAAGCCAATTGCTGTGAAGTAAAGTTGCCCCTTCTGACAAAGTCAAATCACTCAGCCGGCCCATTACGTGGGACTCCAGCAGAAACCTTATCTGTCCAGCTCTGGGAGTTTATTTACCTCTGGCGAGCGCACATTTTATCTCGCACATTGATTTTGTACAGCTGCCAAAACACTGTCCAATATGCTTTTTCCCAGCAGAGATGCTGAGGCAGAGAGACACAAGACAGAACGACCTGACAGAGCCAGTGTGTTAAACATGTAACCCATATGTTGCTGACCTGAGGTTTTCTGGCTGTTTTTGCCCTTAAAAATCATTCAACAACAACAACATATTTGGTTAATAACTGACATATGTCTCACTTGTTTGGGAGTTTAACAGAAAAATCCACCTTTTGACCCTGTTATCAATAATTTCTGTAACGAGCTGATGGTATTTTTCTCTTCAGGAGCATCTACTTTCACTTTAAAGGAAAAGTTCTCATCTTTTGAAGTGGGGCTGTATGAGGTACTTATCCATAGCCAGTGCACTACCAGTGTTGGGGATAGGGCTGCCCCCGACTAAGAATTTTCGTAGTTGACCAACAGTCGTCATTTAGGACGACATTAATTTAATGATCAAATGATATATTTTGGGCGGGGCAACACAATGGTTTGAGTTGAAAGTGTGAGAAAGAATGGTATCAGTAACATTGTTAACACTGTGCTACATTACAGAGAAATACAAAACCGTACTAATGAACCTTCATTAATATAGGCCTAAAGATCAGTTTATCCACAAGTGCACGTCACACACTGAGCGAGCCGCCTGTTAATGACGCTGTGGGCTAATGGGCATGTAGCTACTTCCATGTTTCAGATGATACGTCATGTTTGTAGTCGACCGATGAAGATGAGTTTACATATCACCTTGGGTTCGTCCTTCACCTTCTCAAAATGATCCCACACTTTGGATTTCCTGCCCGACATGTTATTAACTAGCCTGTGGAATAACCGCAGGTACCAGCCCTGGAAATTAACCTGACTCCTGTCTGACTGCTGAGCGTGGACACTTCCTGTGTCTGTCCTCTCAAATTAAAACCCCATGTTTGGTTGAGTTATTTTTCTGCGACTAAGCGACTCATGATCTTTCTGGTTGACTATCGTTTGGCAGACTATTAGCGGGCAGCCCTAGTGATCACAAAGAGGTTAATTAGTATATTCACACCGCTTACGTTGCTGTCAGACAACAATTTCCAACGGGGAACTGAAGCCGCTCTCTATTGCTCTCCTTAAAGACAGACTCCATTGACAAAAACAGCAATTTTAACTTGCTGAACACAGGAGCTGCTGGTCGACCGCTGCCTCTATGAGTTAGTTAGCTAGTGTCATTGTGTGGCATTTAAAAGTGTTAATTCTGATTTATCAAAGTCACACAATAACACAAACAAACCAATGAACAAGGCAGCAGTAGATCAGCCGTTCCCATATTCAGCAAGCTAAAATTACTGTTTTTCTCAATGGAATCTGGCGGCACTGACAGCTGCATAGATGAAGAACTGAAGCCAATAACAGATTCGCCATCAGTAAGGGCTGTCTGACATCACGGTGAAGTGGTAAAAAAAATCTCAACCTAGCATACACTTAAGCTGATATTGTTGTTTTTAGATGGTGAAAATGGGTTTTGTTGCTGGCCCCCATCCACAGCAGTACATCGCTTAACTTCTGTGGCAGTACTCCAGCCTGTTTCTCCAAACTGGAGGCATGCCCACTGACATCTACTGTAGGTAATACACTTACTACGGATAAGTAACTCTTACAACTACACTTAAAAAAACTGAACTGTCCCTTTAATCTGCTGCCTCCTCTGTTCATAGTGTGTGAAAGTGTTGCATTCATTTGTAGGTCGTGCATGCAGTGGTGGGAAGTAAAATCTACAAAATACATTTATTCTACTGTGCTACATGAAGAGGAAATATTACATTTTTCCCCTTCATGAATACAACTTTTTTCCCCATTATTATTAACATAAGAAACAGAATGATAAAGTAGTGCTTCAATTAAAAGTCCATTCTAAGCCACACAAACTAGCGCTGAGACTTCTCTGTGCTATCTCTCTGTTTCATATAAGCAGAGGATTTGGGTATCGAGGTCAGTTATTTATATATGACCCCCTCCCTCCTCACACCAGACCCCNCCCCCCCCCCCCCCCCCCCCCCCCCCCCCCCCCCCCCCCCCCCCCCTCTATATATCCAGTCTGTCATTGCTTTTAGGTTTTGCTTAGCTGAGGAGCACAGGCCTGATCTGAGGGCTTTCCAATTAAGAGGATTGTGATATGAGCAGTATGGGGCTAGCACAACTGCTTACTAATTAGCCAACAGGAAATTAGCAGAACTGGAGTGACGCGCCAGCGAGACGGCGATTCACACCAGCGATTAGCGCTGCTGTTTGAAGTCTTCCGGCTTCCCAATTAAAGGCGGAGAGCCGGGCAGGTTGTGTGGAAACTTCTGTGGCCTGTTTGGCTTGGATGAGTTACAATATGAAAAGTCGACAGTATGTGAGTCACTGCTCCACGCCTGCATCAGTATTCTTGTGTTTGTGAGGGCTGTATTTGTCAGTTGCTGCTGTTTGGAGTTGACAGGTTTTGATTGGGGAGTTTGTTTGTCCACTCAGAGCTGGTATGAGTTTGGAGCAGCTGTTCAAAATGTTTTAAAGTGAGAGCAGTGGACCATTTAAATAAACAGCAATGATACAAGATGAGGATGTTGTCCTGCTGTTGAATAAGGAAAAGCTTCTCCGTATACCTGTATGTGGATATATGTATATAGTCTACTATTTAAGAGAAGAGTTAAAGTCTTCCAGGTCAGCTTCTGATCAACTAGCATTTAGTTTACAGTCTATCTTGAATTTTCTGTCCATCTTAAAGTTAAACACAGAGCTTGAAGTGGGTCAGTACCCACAGTTACACCTATCAGGTTCTCTGAGTGATTCATATTCACCCTAAATAAAATGCATTACCCAGGGGGCACTGGGGGCATTATGTAGGCGACCCAGGGGTTAATATGTAATGCTCACCTGTTCTTGTCTGGCCTGCCTGCTTTGCTCTGCTGGCAGTTAGTCTAAGTAACTTTAAATTATGATACTGTTGACCTGGCTCCAAAAGGTCAAAAGTAAAATCCTACGCTACTAGGCCAAGAGCAGCAAGGTAACTTTAGTGCTACCGCCATCTCTTGTGTTGAGAAATCTGATTTGTGCAAGCTGCATCTCCGCGTCTGAATAATGAAGGCAACACGGAAAGTGCCAAATGCTGCAGTTCCTCTAGTGGCCACTTGAGGCTGGCTTCAGAAGACCATCAGTCCCCATAGACACCCATGTTAAAATGTCCAGCTTTACAGCAGAGATAACCATATTAAGAGCCTGGTATAAAAAACAGTTTTGGTCTCTGTAGATAATTCTCCTGTCTAACATTTACATTTCATTAAAGCTTAAAGTTGCGCATATGTATAAGTTGGGCGTGGCTACACTGACGACTGACAGGCTGTCTGCAAGGCATCGCTGCACTCTCATATCATTCCTCGCTCCTCCACAGCTCCACCCTCTCATCAAAATACGGTCACTTCTGTCTCCAAAAAACCAAGATGGCCAAAATGTCAAACACAAGGCTTCAAAATGGGAGTCCATCAACCAATGGGTGACATCACAGTGGCTACATCCATTATTTTATACAAACAGTCTATGGGTGTATGTCGTTCACCCGCTACGAGTGACTCATTAAACAATCCTTTTGTTTTTTTAACACACTGTCATTTATGCAGAACTTTTCAAAACAATTGTTAACAGAGGGAATAAAAGTGACAGAGAGGACAATATAATAATAATATTTACAGGAATCCAACATGCACAAATTGCAAAAGTTAAGTTTTGAAGTCAAGAAAAATCATCAGTACTCTGGCTCTCTGTAGCCGGGGTTAGCAGTGTTTTTTGCTTTTGACCCCTGAAAATGAAGATGTGTCCACTTGTTTCCCTTGAAAAAAGATACTGTAAAGAACACTGGTGCAATGTAACCAAATAATAATACTTTGTTAAAGTACATAAGTATCTTTTGGGAGTATCCGTACCTTACTTGAGTGTTTATTTTTCTGTCAACTTGCACTTTTACTCCACTACATTTACCTTACGTATCTTTGTTACTTACTACAAAACAGGGAAGGAAGGAAGGAAGGAAGGAGGAGGGAAGAGATGGACAGACAAATGAAGGAAGGAAAAACTGAATTTTTGTTCTTGAAATCCTTTAGGCTGTGAGAAAGACCTCTTTTTTCTTCAAGTGTAATGTCGGCTCCATTTTTAAGCTGGTTTACATTTTAAGAAGAATTGTGACTGCTTGTTTTTTTTCATTAACAGCATTTACTTGTACTTTTACTTTCAATACTCAAGTACATTTAATATAATAAAATTACTTCTGATGCTTAAGCACAGTAAATATCAGATAATACTTTTACTCACGTTTATACTCTAAATGGTGACTTTAACTTCTACCGGAGACATTTTTTGTTAAGGTATCTGTATTCCTACTCAAGTGAGGCCTTCCCTTCAGGTATAAGGAATCAGTCTGAAAAAACAGTATTCATTTTGAGTAGCAGAGGTTTTTTTTTTATGATTTCCTACTCCAGTATTCATGTAGCATCCCATCAGATCCATGAAATGACACCTTGTTGGTCCCCAACCCCGAAGAAGGAAAGCACTGGTGTGCAGCGTTTACATCTTTTGGATTACAGGAACCAACACTAACATTCATCATACGTTAGCTGTTGAATATGTGGTCATAAATATAGTGAAAGTTGAAGCCTTTTGTGTCCATAATGTACAGGGAACAAAAAGAGCCGGTACAGGTATAATTCACTGTGACAGAGTTCACTGAGATCATACTCACTGTATCTTCTTTGTGAAATTCTTTGTCACTATGCCGCCTTCTTCCTGCTTCTCTTCATGTTTTCCTGTTTGACAGAAACATCAGGAAAACATGCGTGAGTGTGTGGAGGGTAACCTTTAATAACCTCAGACGTGATTAAGTTCAGCTTTGTGCAATAGTTTAGTGACCTCATGGATCATAAATAAGTGTCCTCAGCGGTTTAACAGGACATGGATCACATGCACATTTCATGACTCTTATAACTTGTAAATGCATCAATGAGCGCCATCATGGATGTAAATTATAAAGCTGGAGATGACAGTGATATGAAAACACGTTTCATTTGGCACACACTGTTTTCCTTCGCACAACAACAGCAGTGATTTCACTGTGGGGCTGCTGGGTGAGTCGCAATATTAAAATGATGAAACACCCTCTTCCAGTCTCTTCCTCCCAGTAATGACTCTCCTGCAGAAAGACACTCAGGACACGTTGGTCTGAAGTTTGGGAGAACAGCTAAGCCCCCCTCCCGCCTCCACCTTCGCCTCCTCGCTCTGTTTATGGACGTTGTATCTCTCGGGCTTGCTAGCAGCTGCTCTGGGGCTGCTAAATATCACTGCCGCCGCCAGCAGCGCGGCCTGCTCCACCCCTCAACCCCCGTCTGCACTCTGGGCTCGACTATGCGCCACCCTATACCCCCACAGTGACGTCTCTACCAGAGTTCGAGGGTGGAATAAAACTCCAGAGAGGACTGTGCTAAGATCACCGGTGAAGTCATAACATTATTATTTAAACCTCCCCAAGACTTAAAACTGGCCTCCTTTCATGAATAATGGAGGTTTGGTCAGGGAGTCGTCCAAAGAAGCGCTGCCTCTTCTTGTTTTGAACACTTTTACGACGGAGATGCCAAATTCCAGATGCCCTACGTAATGCTCATGATACTGAATGTTCTGGGAGGAGAGACGGACGACAGGATCTTTCATCATGCATAACGTACTAAAAGGTTTTCACAAGTATCAAGGACAGTGGAGCTTTATGATGCTGCTGTTGCTGTGTTTCCTTCAGTCTGTGCTGTGAGCCATCATCAGTTCAGCTCAAACAACTGTCACCATTTGTTCAGCTTTTTAAACCTGCGCTAATGGATATTTATGGATCAAGTGACCATGTGAAGGAGACAAGGAGACAAGTACCCCTCAATATTATCAGGTTCCGTGAGGACAGACAATGAAGTATCATCTTAACATTTAGAACGTGTATTTGTCCTGCCTACATAAAAAACATGAAAGTAGCAGAGGCCTTTTAATTTCAAGAAAATAACAGACAGACTGCATTTTAACCCGTTCAGATCCCCCGTCCATTCCAATCAACATAACTATTCTAGGATGTCAAGATCTATGATTATTGTCATCTGACTGCACCTAAATGCACAGACTTATTTGATGGGATGTCTATAAGCCAATCACAGTAGCCCTTTTTAAATAGGAATTGTGCAAATTTGCAGGAAAGCCCAATCAGTCTTTTTTCAGCATTGGCAGTATAAAAACACAATCGGGGAGTGCGGCAAAATGCCGCCTGCCTACTTTTGTTTAGACAAAATGCGCCTTTTTCGGGGCAATGGGGGGGCGTGAGCAAGTAACAAAACGTGTAGCTCAGCATGTGACGTAAACAGTGACGTGGGAGGGAAGCCACGGCTGGTCAGTCCTTCAGTGATTCTCTCATAAGTCGGCCCGTCCTTCATCGTCCCCGTCATCTGACGGTTAATGGCCTCTTCGTTTGTGAAGACAAGGAGGCTGCGCAATTCCTTGTCTCCCCAGTTGCTCATCTTTACTGTGTCTGTCAGGTTTGTGTTTCCCTCTTGCTACTAGCTGCTCATCCCTGCTATCAGCTGTTTCCTGTTTATCCACCGCCAGTGGCTCGCACGTGCGGCGTCATCAACAGCTCCTCCCACAAGTCATGAACTGCTCCTCCCGTTGTGGAAGGCCGCCTCGGTTTTTTTAAACTAAAAGGGTTCCACCAATATGTCTACCCTACGAGGCGGAAAATTGGGCACCTTGGATCAACTCGCTAATCCGGCTCTGTGTCTAAAAGCTTGCAGCTTGCCGGCAAAATGGCCCAACATTTGCAGAAAATCTGGCAGTGTAAAAGGGGCTAGTGTTCCACATCTTCTAAAGTGGACTGCAGTAGAGCCACACCCCCTGTTTTAACAAGCATGGTCAACCATAAGTGCATGGCACGTTTCAGTCTATTAATCATATTGTTAAAATTGTTAAAATCCATTGGAATGGACAGAAAAAGTAGCACATAATAAAGTATCCTAACATTTTTTTTAAATAAATAAAAAAAATTGCAAATGATTTATGATTGCATTTAGAGTATAAATCCAACATAACAATATTTTTTGTGTATCTGGAACATAATTGGGTTCTGAACGGGTTAAACTGATGCAGAAAAGGCACAAATTGTTTCATAAAAATTCATCAGAATGCAAGAAATTAAGAGTTAAATGCCCAAAACTTTCTGGTAGAGGAACTCAGCCCTCCTGTTTCATATGTGTACAAAATGTCAAGCTCAGTCCAACAGAAGTCAGCCAAGAAAATGTTCTTATTATATTAACAGCACCAATGATGCAGTTTAATTGCAGCTATATAAAATTGATTTATTATTATTATTATTATTATTAATTGTTTTTGTGAATTTAGTTTGTGTCTTTCGGTGAAGTTCATCAGAATCTTTCAGTAAGATGTTAATCAACTTGAAAAAACTGAGCAACTTTCAGTAAGACTGAGTAACACTTTAAATTTACTTTCGGTGAATGTTACCAGGCAGAAACATGCTCATGGCATCACTCAGCTGCACTCTAAGTGACTCAGCCAGTTACAGAGCTAATGAGTACACTCAGTTCATCGGGAAGATTCTGTTAAACATTTTTTCGTTCATGTACTGAACACCTCCAACATGCCTGTATCACACCGCCTGTCACACTTTTAGAACAGGAGGTCGAGTCACTGCGGCAGACAGGCAGGCAGGCCCAACATGGCGCTGATTGAATGACCCAACTGGCATACCAACAATGTGTTTATAAAAAACTCAGAGTTGGGGGCCCTGCTGTCCTCTGTGCCCTCCTCAGACCCGGGTATCCCTGGAATTCATCTGAAGCTCGGACATGAGGAAGCAATTTCTACAACTTGCTCCCATAATCAGTGACTGAGCTTGAATGTGACACCAGCAGGAATAGAGAGCCTGCACGAGGACTGCTGGGTGAAATCCTATTTCCAGAACATTCTCTCTGGTGTTTAATGGCAGCGAGCAGCTTGTCTTATTGTAAACAGAGACTGTTGTCACGGGCCTTGCCTTAAATCTAAATCGAGCTCATGGGTGACTGAGGGAGTGATTCTTCAGGAATCTAAAACAGGTGTCCGATGCATGAGGATCTGCCTGCCAACGTGCAACTCCCAGTCCCCAAAATCTGTTTAGCTCTTCCATAGCAAGACTCATTAATGCTAAGAGCATGTTATACCAGCGAGGCTTTCATTGTGTTGCTTCAAAACTGCTGCCAAAGGGACAGAGCTCATATTTCTTAGCCAGGTTAGAGTGAGGATCCTCAGAGGCACTCAGCACGGTGTTGTTCAACACTGTTTAATTAAGATTCTGACTTTTTATTTGGCTGGACTGCTGTTCTTGTATCACATAGCAACATTTATGCATGGATAGATTACTAAACAGGACTACTGGGCACAGGCCTAGGAGCCTTCACCTGCAAACGTCACTTAAAATAATATTTACCAAGCCTCAAAATGAAGACAAAGGACACAAGAGATCACAAAAAGACACAAAAAACAACTACAAAGAGACATAATGCCCCCAAAGAGACACAAAATGACTATAAAAATACACCAACAGACCACAAAGAGACAAAACTACTACAAAGAGACATAAAACAACCAAAAAAAGACAGACCACAAAGAGACAAAAAACAACCACAAAATACACAAACAGACCACAAAGAGACACAAAACAACTACAAACAGACATGAAAAAAATCGAAAAGGTCACAAAAGTACCTCAAAGACACACAAAATGCCCTCAGAGAGACATAAAACGACTACAAAAAGACATAAACAGACCACAAAGAGACACAAAATAGCTACAAAGATACATGAAACAATCAAAAAAGTCACAAAAGGACAACAGAGAGACACAAAACAGCTACAAAGAGATGCAAAACGACAACTAAAACGCACCAACAGGCCACAGACACACAAAACGACCACAAAAATACACAAAGACCACAAAGAGACACAAAACAACTACAAAGAGACATGAAACAACCAGAAAAGTCACAAAAGTACCTCAAAGACACACAAAACAACTACAAAGAGACATAATGCCCCTAAAGAGACACAACATGACTCCAAAAAGACACCAATGGAACACAAAGATGCACAAAATGCCATCAGGAGACAAGACAACTACAAAAAGACACAAAGAGACACAAAATAGCTACAAAGAGACATGAAACAATCAAAAAAAGTTACAAAAGGACCACAGAGAGACACAAAACAACCACAAAGAGATGCAAAACGACTACAAAAAAACACAAACAGACCACAAAGAGACTCAATACAACTACAAAGAGACATGAAACAATCAAAAAGGTCACAAAGCTACCTAAAAGAGACAAAAATGCCGTCAAAGAGACATAAAAGGACTACAAACAGACACAAACAGACCACAAAGAGACACAAACAGGCCACCAAGAAATGCTAAACAACCACAAAGAGACACAAAGAGACACCAAACAACCACAAAGAGACACAAACAGACCACCAAGAGACACAAAACAACCACAAAGAGACACAAAGAGACACAAAACAACCACAAAGAGACACCAAACAACCACAAAGAGACACAAACAGACCACCAAGAGATGCAAAACAACCACAAAGAGACACAAACAGACCACCAAGAGACACAAAACAACCACAAAGAGACACAAAACAACCACAAAGAGACACCAAACAACCACAAAGAGACACAAACAGACCACCAAGAGACACAAAACAACCACAAAGAGACACAAACAGACCACTAAGAGACACACAGAGACACAAAACAACCACAAAGAGACACCAAACAACCACAAAGAGACACAGACAGACCACCAAAAGACACAAAACAACCACAATAGACACAAACAGACCACAAACATCAACTCAAAAAGACAACGCTACTAAAAGAGATGCAAAACAACAACAAAAAGCAGCTAAACAACTATAAAATCTGTGTGTGTCTTGCTCCTGTGTAGGAGAGGTGGTGGGGCCCTCTGCATGTCTGTGCCCAGGAACCCATTATCTCATAATCCGCCCATGAATTTTTGTACCAGTGTTCAAATTTACTGTAGTTCTGCACAGGGATTCATGTTTTGATAAATAGCTATTGGTTTATTTCAACTTCTGAGCTTTAATCTTCCTGAATTTAAATGTTGTTTGAGTTCATTTTCCATAGACAGAAATATTGCTGCTTCACAATATAGCTGATTTTTTTTTTGTCTAATAAGAGACACTAATAGATACTGAGTCCCACAAAACTGCAGAATACTCCTTTAAATGATATGCTATGTAATATACCTCATTAATAACACTGACCTCGGTGTCCTCAGTGGCAGCTGCAGCCCTGCAAATGAGTGTTTTTCACTAACAGATGACTCCATTTGCTTCATTTATTTTGTTTACATTCTCTTTAAGGTGTTTTCTGTTCAACATGCCTTTCATTTGGCCCATTATTTTAATCCTGATTGTTTATTTGACTGATTAAATCCCCCTTGTTTTAAATGCACTCTGGACATTTACTGTGTCAATGTGCTCTACAAATAAAACTGAACGGATGGTGGTCACAGCAGGAAATCACCAGGTGAGTTCTCTTTAACTTCCAGTCATCGATACCAAAAGTTCTGCTCCCTTCAAAGGCCCTTGTTCCCAAAATGAACCTGATTATAAAGCGTCCTGGAAAGTGGTTATATTTAGTTCAGGCCTCCGCCAGCATCCCAACTCACCTGACACTTCTACAAATCCGTCTCTCGTTTTCACGTTTAACTCCTCCGGTTTGAAGCTGTGGACGTTCACGCAAACTTTCCAGGGCTCCCCCCCGGTGGTGGTGGGCGAGCTCCGCGAGGAGGGCTCCCCGTACCTGCTCGTGTACAGCGTGGGGCCTCCCGCGGACTGGCGCGGGGGGAAACCTGTGCGTAAACTGCTGCCGAAGGGCGAGGGGCTGAGGCGCGTGCTGAGGCGGCCCGGCCGAGCCCAGCCCGGCCAGTCCATTGACAGGTCGTCGGGGAAAGGGGACATCCCAAAGTCATCGTCCATAAACCGAGACGCGAGCTGGTCCCTGAACGGAGACTGATCTCTGAACGGTGACTCTCCAAACGGATCCCTGGGAAACCTCTGCCGGTTCCCCATCGTGTAGAAGTCTCCCTCTGCCATGTCCAGCCGAGTTCAAGACCACTTTAAAGCTCTGCTTGTTCAAAACAACCTCCAACCAAAAGTTTTCCCTTAGAAAAAAAAAACTACTACTATATATACGCGTGATTAAGCTTTATCTCTTTTGGATTTTACGCATCACCGTTACGCAACCCGCTGATCCAACAACAAGCTGTAAAGTATTACTCTGCTATTACTGAAAAAGCGAAACCCTTCTGGCTGTGGGTTTTATACTTGACGGTGGTTTCCCAAACGATGAGTCTGCACAGAGCAAGTGTCGAGAAAGTGCTGGGAGGATCTGGAGAGGAGGCGCACTGCAAAAAATGCGCATATAAGAAATCAACCAGAGTCTTCAGATCTTTAAAGTAACGAGAACTGGATGAAATAAAGACTTGCTCTAATCCAAATAATCTGTTCCAGTTTTTTAAGAGGGTCAAAAACCCTTTAAGACTTAGATTAAGATTAACTGACTTGCTGGTGTGGATATTTTTTGCAGTGCAGGCGCAACAGCTGACCGAAGACCAGCCTCCCTTTTACCAAATTAAGTTAGCGTCCACATGTCGCTCACACAGAGTAGGATCTGCCTCCTGTCGGTGACTCACTGGCTTTTTAATAGAAGATAACGCAGAGCTTCAGGTCAAACACACTGATGTCACAGTACGGATAAAACAAACCAGCTAAGAAGTCAACTTTGTGAAGGCCCCTGTGTTTACTGTGACAAGGAAGTTACTGTAATACATGTTGGGGAGCGGGGGCACCCCTCCCCCCTCCAGTATATTATAAAAATATAGAATAAAAAAAGTAAAATAAAATAAAATACAGAAACTTAGGATCCCTTGATGTTGCTGTCAATTGTTGATGGGAGCTGATTTGGCCCGATTCTGGGGCGTCATTCATGCTGAGTCTCAGAGTCAGGCACCCAATGTGGCCCGGATGATTTCATTCGGCATGCCGAGTTTGGGCCAATGCTGGGCCAGGTCATTTCTGATAACAGCCCAGTGATGGCATTGTCGGCAGCTGGACTTGGTCCTGTTGAAGTGGCCCACTTCTGGGGCGTCATACATGCTGAGTCTCAGCCAAGTTGGGCAACCAGATGCGTCCCGGCTAATTTCATCCGGCATGGCAAGTTCAGGCCGGTTCTGGACCAGGTCATTTTGGCTACCTGGGTTATTACTGTAACACAGCACCAATGATAACACTTCAGTCAGGACATGCATGAAAAGGTACTGTTAATACATCATTTTGCACTAGAACTTTAATTGTGATAATAAATAATATTTTGCTAAAAAGTGTCAGTAATCACATGGAGTGGATACTAAGTTACTTTCAGTTAATCAGCTACACATTTACCCAACATTAACAAGGGTGTTCATGGGTGTTTTCAACTAACCTTAAAGGGATAGTTCAGATCTTTTGAAGTGGGGATGTATGAGGTCAACCTGGTCTCACTCTGAAGTTGTCGAGATCAGACACTGATGGAAAAAAAAACGGTCTTTAACGTTGGCATGATACGCAACCGGTCCCTCTTGTGGTTTAACAGTGCTTTGCGGCGTCAGGGGAAAATGTGGTGGGACTAGAACGAAAGTTAAGGCAGTAAAAATCCGAGTAGGGTGGGTGGGATAGGTAGTGGTTGGGTCCAACAAACACTGACTTTCACCCGGGTGATCGCATCCCGTGAGATTATAAAGCCGAACCCTGTTCTGTTTTTCATAACCCAACCATGTCAATTAGTTGTTGGAGGAAAAAAATGTCAATTTGCGTTGTTATACTGACGTAGTGCATTTATTTTGAAAGAGACTGTATGTAAACTGTAAATTTCCTGTGAAGACAGAAGTGTATTTTGAAAGAAGTCAATGCACGTAACAGGCAGAACTTGACACGGTGTCCTGGAACGTCAAAAAAACGACGCATCCAGGGTACCTTGCACGTCGTATGGGGACCTCGAAAGTCCATGACCAAACGTCGATATGTGACGAGACACGGAAGCTAAGTAATGTACTGCTGTGTATTTAGCCACCTAAAAAAGTCAATATCAGGTTAAGTGTACTCAATATTTTCTGTACTGTCCGATAGCGATTTCTAACAGGGAACTGAAGCCTTGATGTTATTACTCTCTTCAAAGCCACACTCCATTGAGAAATACAGTGATTTAACATCACTATACAAGAGCTGCTGGTCTGCCACTGCCTTGATCAGTTATTTTGTTTGTGTTATTGTGTGACTTAAGCATTTAAAAGGATAAGTTTGAATCCACCAAAGTCACACAATAATACACACTACCTAACTCACCAAGGCAGCAGTAGACCAGTAGCTCCTGTGTTCAGCGACCCAAAATGACTGTTTCTGCCAATGGAGTCTGGTGGCTTTGACGAGAGCATAGATGAGGAACTTCCTCGTCAGAAGGGGCTGTCTGATGGAAAGGTAAAGTGCTAAAAACACTCTCAATATCCACCTTATTTTCAAACACGGAAGTAAATAGTGATCAACTTCCGTGTTTTTGTGCGTGACTTCCGGTCAGCCGCTTTCCCTCATGCTTTCCATTACAGGAGCTAACAGTGCAAGCTAATTTTTTTCAATTTTCAATTGTTTATGTTAGTTAGTTAGTTAGTTAGTTAGTTAGTCTGTGTATTTTATATAGATAACTGTGCCCACGTTTCCGTTATCTGGTAATTACCAGTAAAAATAATTCCCTCTAAACGTGAATAAATCACACGTCAATCAAAAACTATGAACCAAAAAGCACAATCTATCCTGAGTGAGACAAACTGCTTGATCCCCGTCTCCAGTGTACCAGCAGAGAACCTGCAGAACCGAATCAGCGAAAAAACACACCGGGCTACACAGCCTCTCTACCTGAGCAGCTGAAGCTGCGGCTCGCACCCTCGACACACAGACACACAGACAGTGCTTCTGCATGCCAGCCACACGTGTGCACAACTGTGAGAAATAAATATGTGAGGTGTACGCTGTTTTTCTATCTTTTTCTATCTTTTCTTTCTTTCTTTCTTTCTTTCTTTCTTTCTTTCTGTCAGCGACATACACTCCTAACACAGGACGGGTTGTTTTAATTGACTGAGTTGATTATTAAGCCATAGTGATGCGCGGATTGGCTCTGATAGCACCCGAATCAGCATGTACGCATCAATCATCCAGCCGTTAAAACATGATTGAGCTAGCAAAGCAGTCTTGTGTTGCTATGTGTGGTATTTATTCAGTTTTGGGAAATCACGATGTCTAGAAAGCATCAGTGGCTGCAGATGACAGGGACAGCTAACACTAGCAGCAAAGCTAACATCAGGACATCATCTGTTAAAAGCCTCCCGTTGTCGGATACGACATGAAACTACTCCAGTTAGCTCAATCATGTTGTAACTAAGACATCCGCTGGAAAATTTTCAGGGACCGTTTATTGAGTTATTGAGTTATTACAGACACCGCTAACGGCTAACAGCTAACGGCTAACGGTTGACCCAGCTAATCTACGATAACCACGTTATTAATTACAAAACGTGCACACAGAAATAGTAACATTTGTTCAATCATTGTGTTTATAGACTTTACAAACATCGGATTAGTCTAAACAGTGATATAGTGACGTGAAAAATGTGATATATAGCTAAACTCAACAAGGTAAACAACAAGGCGATTCCCATTTACACAGTGGTCAAGAGTGCTGGACCGGAAGTGTCGCACAAAAAAACAGAAGCTGGCTGCGTTCTGTTTTGCCTCCGTGTTTCCGTGAAAAATAAGGCGAATAGCATACACATCAACTGTTAGGGATAGTTTTAGGTTGGACTTTTTAAGGTGGCTAACATATGTTTTACTGCTGCCCTCATCCACAGCAGTTCACTGCTTAGCTTCCCTGTCAGTGCTCCTGCTGCTTCTCCAAACTGGGGATGTGCTGACAGACATCTACTGCATGTGATACACTGATTATGGATAAGTACTTCATAAAACCCCACTTCAAAAAACTATCCCTTTAATGTCTTTATTACATTATATTTGTCAGATAGCCTGTGTGAGGTCTGAGTATAGAGACAGTCATTAATGTTACGCTGCATGTCTCATTTGTTTAGACAGTAACAGTAATTTAGACAACTCAATAGGAAATGAGTTTTCAATTTTTTCCTGAGGGATGGAGGGGCAGTAGCTTTGCCCCCCTCCCTCATGGCTACAGCCTTGTACCGCAGTAATAAATAAAGTGTGTTTTCATCTGTTTTGAGAACATAAAACAAGACTGTTTTAATTCAGAACATGATTTTATAGAGCTTATTCTAAACACGCATTGAAAGGGAGTTCCATGGGGACAATTCAATTTCCAGGTGACACGTTATTACAATGCAGAGTTCCCACTGGCACAAGATAAAATGTGACAGTATGAAAAACATATGCTTTTGCAATATGCTCCTTCATATGGAAAACAGGGAGAGTATGCATAATTTAACACTGAAACACTGGATCACTATTGCTGTATGAGCTTGTTATTGGGATTTTTAAAATAACCAAAGACATGATCAGAGGGATCTTCAGCACAAAGACATCTAGAGTCCACTGATTGATGCCTGACACGCACATTGTCTCCTCTTCTTCCACTGGTCAGTGCATCGTATCCATCAAACATTTTAACATCCAACAAGGCCCAAATCACATTCTGTAAATCAAATAATCACACTTTCTGTATAATCTATACAATGCAGATGCATATTTACACCACATTAATTACATATTCAAAATTATCTTGCACGAGAACTGATGTAAACTTTACATTGTGAGATGGGGGGAGGGCCGCCCATCTAGAAAGTTTGTCAACAAGACTCCACAAATCTCCCGCTTGACACGAGTCGTCATCACTTCATAGTTTATGGATGACTTTTGTGCCAAGTCCCTTCCTCTTCCAGCGTCATATTTCCCTCATTCGTCCAATTTAGTTGACATTCAGGGAAATAAGCTGAGAGTATTGAGTGCATAGAGAGCAGTCTATCAGGCCTGGAGCAGTTACACAGACAGGATGACGGGTTTGAAATGAGTGAGAAATATAACTCTCTTAATTATATGGAAAGGCAGTTTCAAACTTATTTTGCAGATTCAAACTCTGAAGTCAGCCTCGGAATTAAATTTGAGGAAATAGTTTGACACTTTGGAAAAAAAAGGCTCAATTGCTTTCGTGCTGAGGGTTATGTCTGTACGAAAGATAAAAGTTATGATCAGCAGCTGGTTATCGTATCTTAGCATACAGATGAGAAATGGGGGAAACAGGTAGCCAGGCTCTGTCTAAAGGTAAAAAATACACTTGCCAGCACATCTAAAGATTCCTAATTAACATGCATGTCTTTGTGCTCAAGCAAAATGTAAGAACATTGGACTATTTCTTGGCCAGGCGCAGTGACTGTGAGGTTTCCAGGCAAGTGGTGGAGATTTCACGATTGAGTTGCATCCAGCCAAGAAATAGTCTGAGACTCTCGTATGACTTGTAATTCTACACTTAAAGGGAAAGTTTGTATTTTTCAACCTGGACCCTATTTTGCCATATTTTTGTGTCTAAGTTACTAATGTGAACAAGTATTCTTAAAACTGGTCCAATATTGAGCGAGAGCGCTGCAGCCAGCAGCAATGCAAACAGCTGCAATATAACCACATAGGGCATTCGTGCACCAGCAATTTAAATCCATTAAAAGTGCTTGTTTTTGCCACCGACAGGCTCAGATTGTTACTCTAAGTGTCTGACAACATTATGGAAATGATCCCTACAGAGACAGACCTTTCTGTTGAAGAGTACGATCCTTTTTGTTTCACCAGAAACAGCCTTGAAATTGGTATAACAAAACTCACCAAACTCCATTTAAATAAACAGCAACTTTATTATTGTAAAACACACTTCATTCAAAGCTGACAGAAACTAAACACACCTCACAAACACAATTTTGGTTCATCTTATGGCTGTTCCAACAATCACTAACTCTGATTTGGTTGAAATAAATCCTTAATTCATGCAGTTAGATGTGTAAATATGCTGGTTTTACAGTCGCTAAAATTACTGTTTATTTAAGTGGAGTCTGGTGTAACTGGCAACAGCAAGTTCGGGGCTCTTTCTGGTTAAACAAAAAGGATCTTACTCTTTAACAAAAATGTCTATATTAGTAGGGATCCTTTCCATAATGTTGTTAGACACTTAGAAAAATAATCTGCGCCTGTCAGTGGCAAAGCAACAACACTTTTAGTGGATGATCTTTGACAGCGCTCAATTCAGTCTCGCCACTGCAGGCTGCAGCGCTCTCGCTCAATACTTGTTCCATTAGTCACTTGAAAAATACCCAACTTACCCTACAGCTTTTGGCAAGGATTTAACACCTGAGATATATTTTAATGAGTAATCTTTAGAGGTGTTGGTAGACAGATTTTATGAACCTCCTGATAGGAAAGCCAGCTGCTTTTCTATTTCCAGTCTTTATGCTAAGCTAAGTTAGCCGGCTGCTAGCTGTAGCAATTAGGTGGCATCAATCGTTTCATCTTACTCTCTGCAAGAAAGAAAACAACTATATTTCCCAAAATATCAAACTTTAGCTTCTTTTAAGGTCAAGCACCCAAAACAAAAGGTCAGACCTTTTTATCTGCTACTCCATCTTTTGACTGTTTGCTTCTACTTTGAGGTTTATGTGTGAGTGAGGTGGCAAAACCCAAGAATAATTTACAACAAACCAAAAATAAATTACAGCAGTGTCAGAATAACTATAAATTGACAGTGTTGCATAGAAAGATTGACCACTACTGAGAGGGACAACAAACCAATAAATATTAAATAAGTAATAAATATGAGCAGTGCTGCACAATTACAAACTTGACCTTCTGTCGTGATATAACTCAAGAACAAAAACATCACTGATTTGATTGGTTCCAGTGTTGTAGCAAAAAAAAAAAAACAAAAAAAAAAACATTATCGTTTTTTTTTCTGTGCCATCTTTTCAAATCACAACTATCAAATAAAAATGCAGAAACTTGCATATATTAGTAGAGCCAGCCCAAAATAAATTGTAAGCACTGAAGTAGATAAAAAAGTACAAGTATATTCACCTTTAAGTATCCTTTTCCCTTAAAATTCATTATGTTTTATTCGCCATGAGTTGTCAAGGAAATACCTCCTCTGACACAGGGAGATTTTGTCAAATGAATCCCCCCCTCCCTGTCCCCTGCGCAACGTTTCGATCGCTCTCTGTTGTATTACACGGACTGACATTTCAATTGTTTTCCACTTGATCAGAGGATAAATTAATTTGACATTTGAGCTGACAGGCAGTTTGCTCGCCGTCAGGCCACCCTCGCCGTTTCATTTTTCAGAGGAAACGCGCCTGCTCTCCGGCTTGTGAAGTGCTGAGATCAGAGCAATAAACCTTTTCCTTATCCCTGACAAAGATCCCTCTGAAGCCATTTGTAAACACTCAGATCAAGCGGCTCAAATGTTACCTCAATGCTTCACTTCTTGGGGGAAAATCCATAACATACAGACCTGTGGGACAGTAAATGCCCGACGTTCACCTGGTGCATCTGCTCTTGCATTAGCTAACACATACTGTACATTGCCCCCCAAAAATAACATCAGAATAAAGTCATTTCAACTCTTCTTGGTACGTTCAGGCCTCATTATGCACCATTTTAAAATAAATACTAAGATTAAAAATGTTAAAGCCTTAATTTAAAAGAAAAATTAAATGGGAAGTGCATGGACATAAAATAAAGAACAGCGATGTGCATTGATCAAATGCAGGAACACTGTTTCTGTCTTATGTGCAGTTCCTGTTGTAAATATCTGAGAGATGAACAGTCTCAGGCCATTGTGAGTGCTGATGCAAGAGGATGCAGTACAAGAACAAAACAAACAAACAAAAAGACATTCAGTCTCCAGTGGTCTCTGTGGGCAGAGTGAACAGGACTGCCTCAATGAAAGATGTGGTTGGACCCCTGCGGGGACATTTCCACTCAAGCGTCAAAGCAGGGGCACGGAGACGCACACACTCGATTGCTCCTCCAACATCCACCGTCCCCGCTCTCAAATGGAAACACAACCGGAGCTTCAGTCCCTTAATGTGCTCTCAGAAACCTAATACCTGGTTTTGTTGCGTTTGTTCAACGAACCTCGACTCCGGCTGCGACTGCGGGTCCCAAAGATTGAGTTCCAGGATGAACTGCGGCTGTAGCTCCTGTAGGAGGAGTAACTGTGGCTGCGGCTCCGGCTCCTGCTCCGGGTGATGCTGTGGATCGGGCTGCGGCTGCGGCTGCGGGTGAAGAGGCTGCTCCAGGACGACACGCTGGTGGACCGACTGCTGGAGGAAGGGCTCGGTCGGAAGTAAGGGATGGGTCGCTTCCTGGCACTGTGGAAAGCCAGAAAGGTGAGCGGTGTGAAAACAGACAGGAAGAAAACTCAAACTGCAATGTGTACATTTATACTAAACCTTAAAGCTGCAATGACCAATATTTTAATATGAAATCTGTGTAACCTGGAAGGGGTCGCTCTGGGGACAAACTGACAAGAATTATCAACCCACTCTGTGGTCCCTTTCAGCTCTATGGAGCAGTACAATGTCTTTCAGTTCATTGTTTTAGTTCAGTAAATACACTGGACACTACCAGCTTTGTGACAAACAGCAGACAAGGTTAGCAGCTAGCTGCTGAACATAGCATTTTGGAGCAAATGAGACAGATACTTCCATCAAAACAGAACTTAAAGGGTCTGACGCATGGAGGTGGAACGGTTTTATGTCGGCAGCGTAGTGCCCACCCTTCGGTTCCCCTCTATGTTAACATCATTAGCCCTGTTAGCACTGTTGCCATTGTTAGCACTGTTTGCGCTGTGAGCCCCGTATGCTGCTAGCTGCCAGCTCAGCCACCTCCATGTTGAGAGCCGTATGCAGTCTCTGAATCACAGATATGCTCTGAATGTTGCATACAGCTCCTTTAAAGGAGACTTAGGGCCTCTGCACAGAGTCTGTTTTTTCAGATGCATTTTTCTAGTCCATCATCCAAAAAAAAAAAAAAATTGTTATCATCGTCATCATCATCCACCTGAATATCACTATCTGACCTGTTGAAAGTGAGCGATCTGAGTTATGAAATGATTCCGTGCACCCTGTTCCTCTGTCTTATCGCCACGTCTTCTTCACTGATTCTTGGTCAAACGTCTCTAAAGGCTCTGACGGATGCGAGAAACGCAGAAAATCGAACCTGTTCCAAAAATTTTCATGACAGACAAAAGTTTCAGACTCAGTGTGCAAGCGTGAAGTCGTATTCAGTTTTAGACAAGCAGCAATTTTGAACGAAAAAAATGGACTCAGTGTGCAAAGCCCTTAACGTGGAAACACAACTCCAAATAACACTAATGCTACTCTGTGTCTGCTTGACCTGTAAGTAGGCTAACTGTTTGCGAACAAGTTCCAATATCAATACTGCAGTTCTCTTTTCAGCATATTTTGTGTCTCTCTCTGGTGGCCAACTGGGGGGTAAAATTACCAAAAAAAAAATCTAATTATTAACTTGTTACTTTGTCACTCGCTACTAAAGTGTTACCAAACAAGTTTCCTTACACATCTAGTGGACACGGAGCAACGATTGTATCGTTTGGCATTACATTTCTGGACACCACTTAAATGTAGGTGCAATATTCACTCTCCTTTTAGCTCTTTTTTGGTCTCCACCAACTCCTATGAAAATGACCCGTCTCTTTAGCAGCTAACTTTGTCTGTGTATGAGTGACACTGTTCATATTACAAAGTCAGACCCAGGCCCAGAACAGTGCGGCTTTAACATGATATCGATTAGTGAGGCAGTGATTACATCAAATCTGTTATTTGTAACCTCTCTGTGGCTGTCATGTGCTCCTTTATACATATTTCTGTGTGCTGCTGTCAAAGACCAGCATGAAATAAAAGAAAACTAAAGCTAACTGTGCAGCAAGCAAGATCTGTTTTAAAAAGTGACTGTCACGCTTTGCTTGTTCTTTTTTTCTACATCTCAGATTGCCTGTGTTCCACCATCTGCTTCGCACCTGTGGTGGCTTTGGAGCTGACGATTATCTCATCCTCTGGCTTAATGCCATCTCAAGGTACACAGCTCATCAATACCATGAGAAAGATTTAAGGTTGGGGACTTGTCCAACTGAGGGGGCGGAGGGTGGGAGCAGCAGGACATATTTACATAGAGCACATTTCATAATAATGTATATTGTAGCTGTAAATAACCAGGCTGGGAAAGCTGTACCTTGTGATTCGGCGTGCTTCCAGATGGCTCGGTGAGTCTCTCCTTCTTTTCTTCATAGGAGAGTAGGATTTCCTTCTTTGTCTCTTCCCACTGACCTTATGTGTGTGCTTCATATCTGTGTCTCTGGAGCTGTGTGTTCTCTTTCTGTCTCGTAGTCTGGGAAGCAGCCATGACATCAACAATGTAAATGTATATTTGTTCTCGTACCCCGCTAATAAGGAGTCATTAGCAGCTGAAACATTTGGTAAAGTTCACCTGTCAGCGCTGTGTCTGGAGTAGCTTCCTCTGGAGCTCAGGCTGGCCACACTGCCTCGTCGCCTCAGATCAGCTGAGTAACTTGGAGAGCGTGAGTACGAGCTGCCAACGAGACAAATGACAATTATTATATACAATTACAGATTACAGAAATTTCTGCAAAATAAAATATCAGTTTCCATCAACTTCCTTTGCAAATATATTATATATACACACAACATCAATAATTCTGATTCATTTTTGTTTTCCTTGATGGATTTGCCCCATCTGAACTTTAAACAAACTTTGATCTTAATAATAACCATATACCGGACGCCAAGATGGCGCCTATTCATTCCAATGGATTTGCTTGTCTGCCACATGTGCCAGAATTTTGCTAGCTTCTGGAATTACTTCTGCAGTATGCAACCCACTGAATATGTGCAGTTTCTCCTGCTGCGCACCACTGCAAATTCCTGCTTGTCTCATAGACTTGAAGACTTGTCATGGATTTTTAAATGGCTTTTCTCGGCTCCAGGAAAGTTTTACGTAGCTATATAAAACCCTCATGGCTCAAAAATAGAAAGATTCAAAAGTGACCTTGTTGGCGGACGTCTCTTTCGCAATGGTGGCCAATGGGAAAAATGCGTTTTGGGCCACAAGGGAGTTTTTTGCTGTTACACCATGAGTGGCCCCTGGGAAAAATAACTGCAAGGCTGAGTGGCTTCCCAGGAGGCCTGACCCTGACAAACCTGCTCTTTCTATTCTTTACTTTTTGGGCTCTCAAGTGCACTGTAGGCATGTAATGATGAGTTTCAGTGCATGAATGTGCTTCTGCAACACAGATATACAAGTAGCAGGTACCACCATGTAAAGGTGTATTCAAACAAGACTAAGGGTGCTTTCAGACAATGGGTCCGTCCCAAGTCTCTTATTTTTATAGTGCTACTGCTAGCTCCTTGCTTGAACCGGAAGTCGTTGAGGTCCGCCATCTTCTAGGCCGTCCCAAGTCTCTTATTTGTGCAGCGAGGAGCTGGCGCTAGGAGCTAGCAGCAAGCTTTAAGCAGCTACGAGCTAGGATGGTCGAGAGCTTCCTATCCGGAAGAGTTTTTCAGCTGAACGCCATGGCATATAAATACCCGCCCTCTACATCTGGCATATTTGAACGAGATAGCGGAGAAACAGTACAAGAGTAAGTACCCGTTACATGCATTCTTTGCAATGAATCGCTGTAATTCACGTACCTACTTCAAAGAGTAATGATATTTCATGCAAGATTGTTATGTTGCAGTTAGGTTTATTTCAGCCACAACCCCTTGCGTTGTTCATCGGACTGTCGGTGATGTGCGGCTGTGTGTGACCAGAGTCATGATGGCGGGGGTTGGGGGCTACTGTTTTGGTCAGCGAATATGAGACTTGGGATGTACCCATAGTAACGCCAGACGCTGGCTGCTTTATAGAGCAGATCCAGCGGTGCCGCCGTCATCAGGAATGGACGTTGCTTCATGTGATGCTTCAGTGGAAAGGACGTCTCATGTCTCTTAAACCGACAATGCTCGCTTATTGCTCCTAGCGCTAGCTCCTTGCATTTTTTCCTAGGTGGGAGGGGCTAAACAGCTAGCAAAGTCGGCTAGGTAAGATAACTAGCAGTAATTTAAGAGACTTGGTACTGACCCCTAGAGTTGTCTCGCTTTGGTCTGAATCAGGGACTAATTTTGTTTCAAAGTTGTATAACTGCCTAGAGTTGGTTCATGTTCTCACGGCAGCATTCACAAGCAGACCAGATCAAATGCCTTGCGTGAGAAAGCTGCTCTTGATTGGTCAGAATTTCCATGTGGGAAAAATCCAGGAAGTAAAGCAAACGTTGAAGAAGAGTACACTTGCAAGATAAATGTGACACTTTCTAATGTCACAATGGAGGGACAACTACACAGGTTGATTTTAGCGCTGCTCATCGTGGACTATATTGCTGTCATTGTTCATTTTAGTCAAACCATACAGTTTGAAAACGAGGCGCAGCTCCAACTAGAAAACAATGTTTTGATGCATTGGATGTGCTGAATGTGCATATTAAGGCAGTACAGGAGGAGGTGCACATTAATAATCCTCCAGGACTGTAACATGCTCATGTTTAACCCAAACAATGTGTCATGTGACTGCAGTTGGTTCACATCCAGGTCGGAACACGTTCTCAACACAAACCAACCGCACCAGAGTTCATTTGTAACCAGACTGAGACCACCTCTTCAAGAAGGTCTCGTGTTCACACCTGCCCAAACAAACCGCACTGAGGGGGCAAACAAACTTGAGTTTGATTGAACCGAACCAAACAGGGCAGGTGTGAAAGCACCCTAAGGGACCACCAATAAATGAATAACATTTAATTTATCAAAACACAATTTAATGTGCATGTGTACGTGCATACCTACACATGCCCGCCTACGCTGGGAAGCAAGACATACCAACTTTACTTGGGTCTTGAGGAGCTGCTGTGTTTGTTCATGGACAAACTGAACCCTACACTGAACGTTCACTACCACTTGACAACTTAGCTGTTAATTTCTCCCCTGCTTTGATCGCCAACAGCTGTCCGCTCTGATCCAACATCTCTCTTTCTCTCGCTTGACTGGTACACACTCGCTCTGCCCTGAGCTGTTCCTTCAGATGAAACAGACAGGTGAAGTATTTAAGTCCACACAATGAGGAGTGGGTGTACAGATTGTGTGTCCTTCTCCTTTTATTGATGGTTGTTGGTTAGAATACAGTGAAAAAATATGCTTCTATGGCAAATAACTTTGCTTTTATACAGCAGTTGTGTCTTCCTGTTGTGCCTTTTCCCTGTCTGCCAAAGTGGCGCATGGCCTGACAATTTCACGCTACTGCAAACAATCTACCCATATTTGCCAGGTGCTAATTTCAGACCTTGACTATGAATGTCTTTACTAAATTTTGTGCCAATTAATCGAGTAAAAGTGAAAACTTTGACCTGCTGGTGCTGCTAGGAAAAGTCAAGGGATCACCAAACTCTGTAGGAGTCATCCTCTGGGCACCATGAATATCTACCACAGTTACACTTTTTTATATGCAAACTGAAATACATGTGAGCAGAAATGTACTTTTGTTGGATGTTAGTCATGTTTAATTTAAAAGCAGTTAAACCCACCTGCAAGATGACAGTGACAGGCTTCGAGAGTAGCGACCGGAATATCTAGAACTCCTCGAGGATCTGCTCCTGCTGCTGGATGACCGGGTTTTCAGTCGTCTTCGAGACGTCTCTCTCATCCTCTGTGAGCAGCTGGAAGTCTTTGGAGATCTCATGACCTCTACCCGACACCCCAAAGTTATCTGCTCTCTGCAAAGGAAGCACGTTTTTCTGCTTTAAGTGACAGAGCTCACACTGTATCCTGGGTTGTTTTAAAGAAATGCTGCCCCTTATTCTCACTGGTAAACTGAATATTTCAAAAGAGGAAACAGAGCGTGGAAACGGAAGACAAACAACTTGCAATTTTCTTTGGAAGCATTCGTTCAGATGGATTATTTATTATGAACGTAACATTACCTCTTGCCGTTTCCAGTGAAAAGGGTTGCAGACAGGCCGTCCTCCCCGTAAGGTTTGCACAGGGAAGCGTAGCTGGTCACAGAGTTTCCTGAATCAGAGGCATTGTCTCTGTCAGTGAACTTCAGCTTCTCTGGCGAGGCCAGACGTTTACAGCGGTTCCTCTTGTTGTCAGTGACACTCGCCTGAGAAACACCAGTTTTGCTCGACGGCGGCGAAGATGTGTCATTCCCAGAATCGTAATCGTGCGGACCTTCGGTCTGGCTCGCTAAATGCTGAGACCCTTTTCCACGTAAAAGCTCGCTTCCAGGTTTTGGCGACAAAATCTGCAAACAGACAAACAGGCTGCAGCTTAAAACCACGTGTGTGTTGACCAATGGAACCTGCTATCTGCTTTGATGCACTGTGAATACTCTAGTACAAAGGCACATATTCCCTTGAAAACACAGAGAAGTGACTTCTTTTTTTTTTTTTTCCTCGGGACAGAAAACTTTGAAAGATAAAGACATCATGCAAATTTGAAGCATGCGATTAACCCCAAAAGAAAGTCTGAACTCAACTTAAGTCAAAGAAATCAACAAGAAACAAATTGAGATAAAGTAAGTCTAAACTAAAACAATTATATGAAAGGAACAACAAAAGAGCAGAGAAGAAAGAAAAACTATGCGTGGAAAGATCTACCGGCTCTAACTCGAGTGAAGAGAAAAAGAGTAAACAATAGCCCCATTGAAAAAGCCTCATTTAAAGAACATTGAACAAACATCACAAAATGGGTATTATGTAGAAATGAAAAGGATTGCAGACAAAGAGAGATCCCATCAGTCTAACTAAGAAAGCCCTCAGAATGGGACAGATGACTGTGCTCTTTCTCCTGTAAGAAGTAAATAATTAGCCTGCACCGACCTACAAGTAAATCCCTAAATCTGCGGATAGCATCGACTTACCAATCAAGATTTCCTCCTTAAGTAGGTAAGGTGTAAGAAAAAGGGAAGAGCGGGCAACATAAGTGCATCATTAGAGTCGTAAATTGCAAGAAAAAGACAATAACCCTCTCTTCAAACCCAGAGCCAGTTAGACTTATATTGGCATGTTCCTTTTTCTTTCCTTAATGGTGTATTGTTTGGGAGTTTTTCAGGAGTGAAAGGTCCCAGAAAACTTGCTCCTATGCGATTAAAACTACTGCACACTAAAGCTATAAAGCATTTTTTTTATTTACTATAGACGGAAAAAGATACTGACTCTCCGAGGATCATAGTTGACTAATCTTATAAAATTATGATCTCTCTTTATTTATTGAATGCGAGGCACTCAGAGGGTTTATCCAGTCTGTCCTCCCCATTATCTAGTCTAGAGTCAACACAACAGACCAACCCTGAGGGAAATTTCCTCTTTACCACTTGCATCGTACTCAAGAGTAAAAGATTTCACTTACAGAAAGACACATTTTAATCAGACACATTCTTCACTGTCACCTGGAGATTTTTTTTTTTGGACAAGGCTGCCTTCAAATAAACATTTCAAATGTTTTCTTTTTGAGCTTTCTTTCCCTTTTGGTGCCACAACGTTTCTTATGCTGCGACTACAAAAAGAAATTCATCACTTATATTCACAGGGAAGGCTGACATTTATTACAATCAACCACATTCATGTCGTTTTTCTGTCCGGTCATACCTACCTTACCCTTTACCGACTGCTTTTTTTGGGAAAGAAATATTCAGCAAAGATCATTCTGCAGTACTTCTGAAATTATGTGCTTTTATCCACCAAAGACTCATAAATAAATGCAAACACCACTTAATAATTGCGATACAGTAAGGCTACCCCTCAGCAACCATGCAAAGTCCTCCTGAAAGGCTTCGGGATATTGAATGCCGGGCATGATTCAATATATGGATTAATTTATTGAATTTCAATTAAAACCCTGTGGTGTGTAATTAAAAACATTCGTCTGCGCAATTAACATAACTTAATGATTGCTGGAGAGAAATTAAATATATTTCATGCTCCAATAAGCATGAGACAATGAGTTTAAGGACACAGCTGTATTTATGAGGCTCTCTGGGAGAACATCACTTTAAAAACAGGAAAGGAAACTCAACCTGCAATAAACAGCGCGGTTTTAAAATTCAAAGTGTGTTTTCCACTGGCTGTCAATCACTGTTTAAAGATGTTGTTAAAAAGATGATGGTTTCATTTCGGCTGCAGTTCAGATCTGCAATCGGAGTAATTGAAACTGCTGGATGTGTAATGTGTGGAAGACGCATGGACCAGAGGGGCCCAAATGAAACGGCTTTATCTCCCCCGCACCTGCTTCTGTACCATGTAAATTCTGACTCCTGATAGAATGCTAGTGTGCATGTATTTAGACGTCACACACGACATACAATATATAAAAAAAACATATGATCATGACAGCAGGTTTGCAGTAACTAAGATTTTCTGACCTGCTTTTGCGGCAAGAAAATGGCATTAACTGCAAAATGCAAAGCAAGTGATCATTCTTTATCTTAGTCTCCTGCTTCAGCCCACTCACCCTAACGATTATGCTGACATTAAACGAGCACGTGATTTGCATCCAATGCCAGCGTTGGGTGCCAGTACAGGAAGCAGTGTGGCAGGTCCCTAACCTTACAGCTTTGACTAAGCACAGTATGTTGCACTATCATGACCTTGGGCAATAAACAAGCGCTTCCTTCCTGCTGCGAGCAGCAACATTGTTTCGTATCAGCGTACTATGCAGTACGCCACAGATCTTACTGCAGACAGCTCGTAAACTACAGGCTTTGTTGCATCCTGTAGGAGTCTAAATCTACACTGACAAAAAGGAAACATAGATACAAGTCTTTTGGTTTTGCTCCCACTTTTCTTCAGGAGTTGAAATAGAAAACATAAAACCTTATTTATGCACACAAAAGGATTAGTTGTCTCAAATTATGTCCAAGTTTTGTGTTTGCTGACTGTCCACCAGAGCTGTTGCCCATGAATTAAATGTACATTTCACTACCATACGCTGTCTCCAATGTTGTTTCTGAGAATTTGGCAGTACATCCAACCATCTTAAAATCTGTAGACCAGGAGGAGGAGGCAGGACCTCCACATCTGGCTTCTTCACCTGCAAGATCATCTAAAACCAGCCACCCGGACGGCTGATGCTACTGGAAACCATCTCAGGTCTGGTCTCAGACAATCAATGCAGGTGAAAAAGCAGTTGTGGAGATCCTGGGTCCTGGGTTACAAATGGTGTGCGGTCATTATGGTAGTGAAATGAACATTCAGTTCGCTGGTAACAGTTCTGGTGGACGTTCCTGCGGTCAGCATGCCAATAGCACACTCCCTAAAAACGTTTGGCATCTGTGGCATTTTGTCGTGTAATCAAACTGCACATTTTAGAATGGCCTTTATTGTAACCAGCACAAGGCACACCTGTGTAATAATCATGCTGTTTTTGATACACCACACCTGTCAGGTGGATGGGTTATCATGTTGGCAAAGTGCTCACTAACATGGATTTAAATAAATTTGTGAGAATTGACCTTTTGCTAAGCCCCACCCCTTTGTGATGCTGTCAGAGTAAACATGGAGCCCACACTGTAACTAACTGCACTCCCTGAAGAAATATTATCATAATTTTGGGAAAATGAAAGAGTGATTCCAGAGAGAAGCAGACAGAGGGGTCTACAGTGTGTGTTTGAAGGATATATCCAGGATGTCAAACTGACTCAGCAGCAACAACAGGTTAAAAAGACAAAGATAGGTAGAAGCTAAAGCCGAACTATAGGCTACAGACCACAGTGTAAAAGTGAACCACCACATCACTGCTGATCGCCACACAAGACAATGAATATAAAGGGAAACTCTGCTGATATTGAACCAGCTGTGTGGCATCACAGTGTGTGCAGATGAACCGTGTTTGGCTTCACCCCCGTGCTGCTGCCAGCACCCGGACCTCCACCGCCGGACGGGCAGGGATCTCCGGGGGAAGTCACACAACGTTCATCTGCACACACTGCGATGACACACAGCTGGTTGAATATCAGCAAAGTTTCCCTGCTTCCCTTCACTGGTTCCTGTACAGCAGGGTCGGTCTTTGTTTCACTGTTATAATCATTAAAAAGCAAAAGCAGCATGTGTATACATTCAGTAGGCTATATCTTCAGTAGATAGCTAGCTAACCCTACACTTTTCAGGGTTTGATTTTGGTTTTGGAACAGGGAAGAAACGTAAATCTTTTTCCAACCTCTCCAGGTAACGAGTATCATTAATACACAACGTGCCCCAGGCACAACATTTAGCTCCAAATCCACAAAACCAGCCTGAAAATGAAGGAAATCTGAAACAACTGCATTAGAGTCAATGGAGCACAGCTGTGTTGTTGTCGGACCCTGGTCTGAGCCGACCCGATGCTACGTTATGATTGGATAGTCTGCGTCCAGGGGTGGGACTTAGCAAAGGGTCAATTAAGTGATTTGTGTGCATAGAAAAAGTACTGATCTTTTATTTCAACTCGAAAAAACAGGAGCAAAATCAAAAGTGTTCATATTTCTGTTCCATGTACATTGTAATTAAATATTAAAATATTTTTAAGGTCAATACATAAAGTCTTAACCAAGTGTTTTATTTTCCTTATCTTGACCGAGGTTGTGATGCAGTGTTAATTAAAATAATTCAAAAATATTCTCACTTTGTATTTAAAAACATCACTACTGAAAAACTTTTCAATAATACCTTTAATAAAGGAATACAAATATGCAAGAGATGAGAAATAGCTCTTGTTTGTGTTCATTTTCAATTGAATATGACCCTTTATTTATCATCAGGAGGGATAATAGGCTTTTAAAAACACTCTATTTCATTGCTATTATATTGAGAATGTGTCATTTTTCCAGCAGTGTCATTATTGTAATGGGGAGTCTTCTACACCAAGGACTTGATGGTGTTACTTTTAAAAACAGAAAAACAAGAACTGACAAAATTAGTGCAAAGTAAAGGACTCATAAAATGAGCTCAGACTCAGGCCATGTACAGTTTTTGGATTTTGTAAATACTGATCCTTCAGAGGACAGACATATCATTTACTGAAAAATGTTTTTCTTTGGCTGACAAAAATACTATGATGTGGAATTCAAATCTTAATACTGGACCACAGAGGATTTTCTTTATTGAGAATCATTTTCCAAACCCATCTGCCTCACTGTAGGCGTTTTATTTTGACCGACAATAAGCTGTTTTACATGGCCATAACTGAGAAATCAAATTGAACCTGCGGCAGCATCATTAAGAGTCCTAAAGTGTACTTACGGTGGCGGTTGAGAGGATGGAGCGATATTTTGGAGCCGTTTTACACACTGATTTGGTTGCTGGTCTCCACTTCATGTCCGTGTGGTCAAGCACTCCGTTGGTTTCCTCTACTACAGCTGCCAGGTCTCCTAATGCCTGATGTACCACAGATTTCTGCAGATGGTGTCTGTGGGAAAATGCTGGATTTAGTTTTCATGACACGGCATTGTGACATAAATGCTTTTTTTCATTTGGAGCCAATTCTGCACTTAAGAGAAGGGGACAAAAATGAGCCCTTATGCACATTTAATGTTAGTGTGCAAGATTGTCATTTTACTTCAGCTATATTTTTTCTGTTGTTTTGTTTTAGCGATTTAAAAACACTGAATTATAATCTGCTGTTTAATCATAGAAAAACTGTAAAGAAGTGTTTTTTGAGTGTTATTCTACCTGGAGAAATGATTGAGTTTCAGCTGAATAAAATTATTGGAATAAATAAATAAATAAATAAATAAAAACAGACTTTTAAAGTGCTTTGACAAGTAAAGGAAAAGCAGAAACGTAATACTCAGAAGGCAAACAGGTCTACCAAATATAAACTAAAGCTCTGTATGTCTTGTTAAGTTTGAATAATTTCTTTATTTTTGCAAATTTCAAACTCATCAATAAACGCCTACATAATCAGGCTCCCCAGATGCTCAGTGACTTTCTGGTTCCACTAAACCCCTGAGCTTGCCTGAGAAGGACTACATGCACAAACCCACTATCTTACTATATAATGACGAAAACTCTGTCTGTGTCTGTGTCTCTGTTCCACGTTTTTCTCCTCACTGACTTGGTCAATCCATGTGAAATTTGGCACAGTGGTAGAGGGTCATGGGAGGATGCGAATGAAGCAATATTACATCACTTGGCCAAAGGAGGGGCGCTATTTTCCGCCATTTTGAATTTTTTGAAAAACACTTAAAATCGATCTCTTCCTAGGAAGTTTGACTGATCTGCATGAAACTGGGTGAACATAATCTAGGGACCAATATCTAAAGTTCCCTCTTGGCAAAAGTTGGAAAACTTACTAAAACTGAGCTTCTATAAGGCAATGAATATTGCGGAGGGCGTGGCTCATCACATAAAGGTGTATAACATCTCAAGGGTTTCACCCATCACCACGCAACTTTGTAGGCATATGACCACAAATAATCTGAGGGGACCCCTCCATTATTGACCCCATCAAACAAAATGGGGGCGCTAGAGAGCTCATTTCTTATCTAGGCCCATATGGATTTTTACTAAACTTGGTAGATATGTAGAACAGGACGCCTCAAGGTGACTGGAGAAATTTAACTCTAATTGGCAACTGGGTGGCGCTATAACAACAGAAAAATGCTTAAAAATGGCTAAAATGCGACCGATCGCTGTGGCTCCCCCTGTGGCCCAATGTTTTTTCTTTTTTCCTAATTTTTGGTATGACTAAGTCATGGTATGGTATGCTGTACATAATCATGGAAACTGTCAGTGTGTCATTCTGTCAGTCAGTCATTCTGTCTGTCCCACGTTTTTCTACTCACTGACGTGGTCAATCTATGTGAAACTGCACATAGGCATTGAGGATTGGCATAGGTAGAAGGTGACAAAGCTACCAGTGGGTATGGACTAGTCTTTAAATATCCCATGGAAAGAGACTCTCACTGCAGCCTGTTTTATTTTGTTCTGAAAATGTTGGCGTGCAGCCTCGTTCTGTGGATGATAAACAAGGTGCAGACTGATAAAGGAGGAAATACAGTGAGTGCTGGACGGAGCAGTGAGTGACAACAGCTCCGCCCACATTTAAGGCTATGGTTTGCAGTGGAAGCCCAAGCTCTAGGTACCATGTCTGAAGGGTTACTTTTGGTTTCAAAGGCACCCTCCTGAAAGTGTTGGTGGAAAGGTGGCCTCAGAGCTTCTGGCTCAGTGGAGCAGCCGATGGGAACTGTAAGGTTCCCCTGTGTAACTCCTCATTTGGAAAAACAGCTTTTTCTGTCCGTGGAATTCTTCACCTGCAGAACTCAAATTGGATCCTGATTTCGGTCGCTTTAAACTCAAACTGACACCATTTCTGAAGAGGAATCAGTTCTGCAGCCATGAATAATTTGGTGTTTCCTATTCTATGGTGCTAATTATGTATTGCAGTTTGTGTCTTGTATCGTTCTGTCTGTATTTTGAGTGCTGTGCTGTAAGCTCTCAGGCTATAAATGCTGTGGTGTGTGGCATTTATGTATGCTACATACTTGTAAAGGTTCAGCGTGTAAGATTCAGGGGGATTTATTGGTATACAGAGGTGAGGACTGCACATTGCAACCAGGTGAAACTTCTCCAGGTTAGAGTTCCTTCAGTGTTCATTGTTCAGAAAGTTTTAACCAGGAGCTGAATCCTCTACTGAGGAGACTGAGGTCTTTTCCTCTCCTGCAGATGGGTTTCTAACTGCAGGGGCTGACACGAAGACGCGAAAACGCCAGTGGCCCTATCTAGAGCCAGTGCTTGGTTTGTCCATTGTAGGCTACAGTAGAAACATGGCGGTGCAACATGGCAATCTCCACAAATGGGGACCCATTACCTGTGTAGATATAAACAGCTCTTTCTAAGGTAACAAAAACACAACAATTCTTATTTTCAGGTGATTACTTATTATATTATATTCCATGTCTGCCAATATATCCCCTTAAATCCTACACACTGGACCTTTTAATTATAATTTCTTCTGCTTAATATCCCAAGGAAACTCATGGCAACGAGTAAGTGATGAAGAACTGCACACAGACTTAAAATGGTCATTTCAGAATATCTTCAGATTACTTTATTTTGAAAACTGGACCTCACTTTGAGTTCAAACTGAAGTGGATTTTGTCATGAGTCAAAATACACTTATTGAGCTGTCCCTGATGATGCCATTCTGACTCTACATTCTGTATTCAGCTGTGATCAATGATTATTTATGGATTAATTATCACCAAATGAAGTGTCCAGTTATCCCAGTAGCTACTACAGATCATCACACCATCAACCCTGCTCAGTATAATCCATAAAAACTGTGATAAACAACATCCTTCATCTTTCAGGATTTTGCAATATGTCATTATAATTGAGTGCATCGATCTGTGGAGTGAATATGGGGCCACTTCCTGTGAAGCTGTGATAAGGGCTGGTCGTGCCTGAGATCAGGAAGTCACCTCTGCCTTATCAGTCATCGCTGTGGTGTGACCAGGAACTCGGCAGACACCTCGAGCTGATAAGATAAACTGAGGGAGTGAGGAGGGGTGAGGAGGAGGGGGGAGAGATGGGCTCCTACCTGTCCTCTGTGGAAGATTGGTAAGAAGAACTGTCCGAGTCTGACCTCCGATAGTGCCGCCTCCGCCGTGAGTGAGTCCGTGAACTGAAGGGGGTGATGAGGAGACACAAGTGGATAAAGAGCTAAGAAAACTGTGAATAACCAGTTGACAGGATTTACCTGAATTTTTTTTTGATCAGTTAGTAGTTTATGTAATTTACCATGCATAAATTCCAGCTTCACAAATGTAAGGTTTGCTTCTACTTGTTCTAGTTTAGGGTAAATTGATTACATCTGTAGTTTGTTCATATTGTTCTATACCCATAAGGGTGGGAGGGTAAATTAAAGGTGTAGTTGGTAATTTAAAAAAAAAAAAACAAACAAAACTTTTGTCTTATTTGCTGAAACTCACTGTCCACACACTAATACATGAGACAGACAATCTGTGAAAAAAACCTGTTCCCCCTCGTCATCATTGCAATTCTAAATGCAAGTCAACAGATATCTGCATATAAATGCAAAGCTAGAAAATGCTAACTTGTCAGCAACATGACAGCTTTTGTTATTTTCTGTAAAAGCAAAGTTGAAGTTAAACTATGTACTGTATTAACTTTTAACAATTCAAAGTATACTTACATATACAAATATAGATCAATACAAGACACTGTCAAGAATTTCACATAGAAAATAATATTATATAGATAATTTAACACTAAAGAACAGTTACAGTACTAATAACAGCAAAATAATCTTAAGCGATGATCAGTAATTGTCTCCTTAACTCAGGAGAGACTCAGCAGCCAAACATCTCTCCAGTATCTGTTGAAGAGCTGCTGAGATTGTCACTACAATGAGAACAGATGGTCCACCTTAACAGTCCACCTTAAATGAGCCTAATCAGGTTTCAATGGGAGGCTAACTCCGCTCGCTAACTTAAGGGCTAACCAGCTTCACTTTAAGCAAGTGGGAAGCAAGACATGGGAACTTGACTTGGATCTTGAGGAGTTGTTCACTGACAAATAGCCGAAACTGTGCACACACTGCACTGTTTCACTCCGGTTGCCACATGTCACTGTCACTGCCAATTGATGCACTGAAATCTGCATTGTGCTTCAGTTGGTTATGTACCGGTTGTCTAAAAACTGGTGGCACACTGTGTTTCGTTACTCAACACTAGTTCCGAGGTGACATTTTGGTTTGAACTTGAACAAATTTAAGGAAATCCTTGAAGGTGTTTTTGAGATACCACATTCATGAGAATTTTCCCATTGGACTTGGACTAGCATTGATGCTGCTTTCCCAGACGTCAGCAATTGAATTTCTAATAAATTCGAAAAGGTCTGGGGTTGCACTCACTGACGTTTTCCCTGTTTGGGACGTCATCTTCTTACAGGGTGTCTACAGATAAAACAAAGTTATATTTACCACTTTTATATATATAAATTATACTTATAAATTTTGTCAAATCTCACCGTTGTCATAAATGCTATTTATTAATGAAATTCCTCGGTCAGTCCAAAAATTGTGAACAGTCATTAGGTCTGTAAGGCTGGAGACATTTTCGCGGTAATGTGACCGAAAATATTTAAGACCTATCAAATCTGAATTTAGACATTTTAAGACTTTTGCAAGACCTGCAGACATCCTGTCTTCCATAGGTAGCTAGCTACCTTGGTATACCCACAAAAAATAAAATAAAATAATAAAAAATTGCTGCAGAAAAATGGCAACAAGTGTGGATGAGATCGGCAGCTGTACAGATTGCTCTAAGTCTACAAATGGGAAAATAAAATCTGCAAACAAGACGTAATAAATTACAATTATCCTTCAACTAGTTATTCTATGACTCCAGATAGCAGATCTGTTTCCACCGACACTATGAACAGACTGTTTTAAGATGAAAAGAATCTTTATTTACAGCCCTGTAGAGCACATATGTAAATTTGCTGGCATTGCAAACTGTTTGGATCCTATTTTTTTCTGATGAATGTGAAATATATACTTGATTTATTTGAAGAATAGGAGAGCGCACCAGAGAAGCGAGAGTATAAAGGAACAGTGAAGGCCTGAAGAGCACAAAGGAGAGAGGGAGTAGAGAGTTGAAGTGAGCTGGAAAGCAGTGATTTCTGTTGTAGTAAGCAGCAACTGAACTTGGCTCTGTGCTTACAAACAATGGCCGCTCATCCAAAGTCGAATTATAAAATGTTGCAAGATCACAGCATGAAATTGGTTTCCCTTACCCTCTTTCACCCCCTTTTTTCCCCTCTCTTTGTGGCTCAAGCTTTCAATCGGTTTTCCTCTTTTATGAGGGTTTTTTTTTACGCTTTGCTCAGAAAAAATAAAAGCCTGCACGTTTCTGTATTCACCCATCGTGTCCCTACATGAGAGCACTTTGGAGGATGCTCTCTCTTTCTTCCTCAGCCATGGCTGGATGGGCTTACCAAGGGGGGAGCAAGAGGAGGTGGAACAGGGGGTCAAAAAAGTTGTGTAGGATTTGGAGAGTACATGATGCTGATGCAGCAATAGCAGATTTTTTTTTCAACAGTTTTCAATAGTGGTGTTCAAGTATTGAAAAATGACAGCTGAAAGACATCTTAATTAGAACCACTGAAGAAACAGTCCCTATGAGAACATATTACTGTGTGTTTTGTTGATTTGAAGTGTCATTTTTCTTTCAAAGATTTTTTTATTTGGCTCTTTTGCCTTTATTGGATGGGACAGATAGATCTGAAAAGGGGGACAGAGAGAGGGGGCGACATGCATTAAAGGCCTGCGGACTTGGGGTCAGGATCCAACATGGCGCGTGTAGTACAGAATAACTGTAGAGTGTAGAATAAACACTAGCCCTTTTTAGATAGGAAATGTGCAAATTTGCAGGAAAGCCCAATCAGTCTTTTTTCAGCATTGGCAGTATAAAAACAAAATCAGGGAGTGCAGCAAAATGCCGCCTGCCTACTTTTGTTTATACAGAATGCGCCTTTTTTGGGGCAATGGGGTCGTGAGCAAGTAGCAAAACATGTAGCTCAGCGTGTGATGTAAACAGTGACGTGGGAGGGAAGCCGCAGCTGGTCAGTCCTTCGGCGATTCTCTCCTAAGTTGGCTCGTCCTTCACCGTCCCCGTCATCTGACGGTTAATGGCTTGTTCGTTTGCGAGGGCAAGGAGGGCGAGCAATTCCTTGTCTCCCCAGTTGCTCATCTTTACAGTGTCTGTCAGGTTTGTGTTTCCCTCTTGCTACTAGCTGCTCATTCCTAATATCAGCTGTTTGCTGTTAGTCCACCGCCAGTGGGTCGCACGTGCAGCGTCAAGTCATCAACAGTCCCTCCCGTGGCGGAAGGGCACCTCGTTCTTTTTAAACCAAAAAGGTTCCGCCAATATGACTACGAGGTGGAAAATTGGGCACCTCTGATCAACTCGCCAATCCGGCGCTGTGTGTGTCTAAACGCTCAGCGCTTGCCGGCAAAACGGCCCAACATTCGCCAAAAATCTGGCAGTGTAAAAGGGGCTACTGAGGCAGTGATGTCCAGACTTTTTTGAATGAATGCCAGATTAGATACTGTGAACATACCAGTTGCTTCTTGCATCATATGGGTTATTTAAGACAAAAATATATGAATACATTTTGTTTGTAATTATTCAACTTTCCACTGCTCCTGAAAGCAGCAGCCCTCGCTGTCGACTTCCTGCTTCTTTGCTGTGGTCATGTCTGCTACCTAACAGGAAGTGTCTGCTGTTGGGTAACCATTCGTTTCCTTGTTTACCGTCTGTCTGTGAGAACACATTAGTTCTGTGTGCTCAGTACCTACTTGTGCATGTCAACAAACTGTATGATAGTCCTGCCATCATAATCTTGTGACCTTGCTTAAATAACCACTTTGTGTGGCAAGCCATATCAGCGTATTTTGAGGGACAAGCTACAGGCCATTTACAAGTGGCCCACGAGCAACGTTTTGGACTTTGGACATGCCTGCAGTAAGGGGCAGATATGAATGCGCTAACATATTTGAACTGTGTGAGATATATGCTGAGAAAAGTCATCTGTCAGAAGTGGGATTCGAACCCACGCCTCCAGGGGAGACTGCGACCTGAACGCAGCGCCTTAGACCGCTCGGCCATCCTGACATATATATAACACCATGCCAACAGTTTCATATTACTAACTGGTGAGTGACTGCTTACAGCTGGGCAAACAGCTCCTACAGGCTGCAGTAACAGCAACATGACTCTGCTGGGTGAGAAGACTGACCTTTTCTTGTGTTTGCGCTCATCCTTCCTCTTATGTTTTAAACTTGAAGAGCTGGTGGGATGAAAGAGAATAGAATCATGAGCGAGGCGTATTAAGCCTGCACATACAGCCTGCTGTCTTACTGATACATAAAGGGCACTGGCTTTCAAGTTGGAAATCTTACAGAAAGCAGAGGCTAAATGTTTACCACATTTAAGACAGAAAGTTTTGCAGGTGAGAACTGTTTGCCTTTAAAGTTTGCTCTTTTAATTCAATATTTTACCCTTCAGAAACTGCACACACACAGCCATGAGATATGCTAAAGTGATGCATAAAATCTTGCAATAATAACACACATACCTGTGTTTTGACTTTTTGGAGGTATACCTGAAAAAGGGAGAAAAAGTATAATTTCAGTCACCTAAAAATAAATGTGCTATTTTGCCAATATTGTGGTAGTAAGCGAGAACTACCTATGCCGCTTGCTTTTCTTGGAGCTTTTCTTCTTCTTCTTTTTCTTCTTCCTCAGAGGCGACAGGCTGTAGGAAGGAGACCTAAAACCAGACCACAAATAAACATGAACTCTTGAAAGTACCAGGCATCCTCACGTACACTTCTCTCAATTTATTTATTTATTTCAGAAAACACGACAAAGATGTCCAACACCACACCTCGCTGCAGAGTCATCTCATTTTGGGAACTGACCTTTTCCTTTTCCTCTTGCGTTCGGACTTTCTCTTCTTCTTCTTCCCCTTGGGCCGAGGGGAGAGTTCCTCATCGAAGGAGGGGCTGCAAGCAAGAGACAGAGCAGAGCGGACACTCCTGTATTAATTCCAGTGATGGGGTATGAAATGTGAAGTCTCAGCAGCAAGAGTTACAGCTTCTGAATCCCAATGTCTGGACTTTTGGAATTTGATTTACAGTATATACCAAGTCTGCTGAATTTGAGTGTTGAAGATGTTAGTCCACCCAAAAAGAAGAAAAAAAAAAGTTAGGTTCTCGCTTACCTCTAGTATTATCTAGTCATGCAGACAGTGCTAGGATTATATGCCCAATTTGCCCACATCAATACTATGGAGTTAAATGGAATCTCAACAGCCCAGTATCCCTAGAAATTAGTCCACACTGGACAATTCTGCAGTTCACAGTTTACATCCAGTGCCAACAATCAGTACCAGCCTGGGAAGTTGCGTGTCCTTTATCGTGAAATGGAAAGTAAGGGTTGCTAGTTAGGGTGGGGAAATAGTGTACAGTATTATGTTACCTCTTTACTAACTTCAACCACGAGCCTTCACTGACCTTAACCACATTGTAGTCACCATGTGCAAATTTTGCAGAAAGTGGCAATTTTTAAAACACTGGCATTTGACTGAAACTAGAATTAATGCCCTGCGAACCAGTCAAGTTGCAGTTTACATGCATATCTGTCTATGTTCATACATAGCCATGAAAGTACACAGTGCTTCAAATATGATACAATTGACATTTTGGATAAAAAATGTCATCACTTAATCATTCAATATTTTACTGGACATTTGTGTGAAATGCTGTCATGACTGGCGTATGAATTCTTGAGTCGAGTGGCCAAGATGGTTATGGTTTTTGAGATCACAGTGAACTTTGAGCTTTGACCACCAAAATCGAATTAGTTAATCACTGAGTTCAAGTGAAACAAGTCCCTCAAGGTGTTCTTGAGATATCACGTTCACAAGAATGAGACAGACAAGATCACAGTGTCCAGGACCTTCGGCCGCCAAAATCAAATCAGTTCATCCTTGAGTCCAAGTTGATGTTTGTGACAAATCTGATGAAATTCCCTCAAGGTGCATTTACGTAAATCGGACATATGGACAACACAAAAACACAATGCCTCTGGCCATGGCTGCTTCCGGTGCAGACACATAAAAAAAATAAAACAAACGTCAGTGAACATAACCCAGGTTTTGCAGAACTGTCCAATTCTGACATGCTTGTCTGGCAACAAGGTTTCAATGGTTGTGCTCAAAGTATCTGAAAGATGTCTACAGTGGAACGACTGAAGAAACAGTGCCCATGAAAACAGAAGACAGTGTGTTTTGTTGATTTTCAATTTAATTTTTCAGTCCTGTGAGCACCACAAACTAAATTCTATTCACCTCCACTGTTTTGTATTGCAAGCCAAAATCTCTGAGACAGACTCCTCAGATCGTGGGCGGAAAAAAAAAAAATCTAACATCACAAGATAAAATAAATCATAAAAAGTCCTAAAAACATAGAATTGTAAAATTAGAAATCATAAAATGTAGTAAGATTTTGAGAGTTTTAGACCTGTATCAGGAAGTCAGAGTTAGTTTAAGACGAAAGTGAGCAGATACGTTTTTAACTTTCTTTTAAAAATATTCAGCAAGCTAGCTTCCCTGATATTTACAGTTACTGTGTTCCAGAGTTTTGGGGTGTAAATGACAAAGACTGCATCCCCAAACTTCTGCAGGCTGGGCTGTGTGTTTCCCATGTGGGGCTTTGTATACAAGGAGGAGGAGCTTAAAATCAAAATCTAAATGTAACAGGAAGCCAGTGAAGAGCAGCTCAGAGTGGCCTGATGTGCTCTCTCATCTTGGTTTTGGTTGATAGCCAAGCTGCAGAGTTTTGAATATGACTTGATTATATTAGCTTCAACTATAGTGTCATTGCCCAGAGCGCTGTACTGAGACAATGAAGTGCAATTTTGCATCTAAACAGTGGTGAGGAAAGCATGTGTTGTGATAATTATGCTGAGAAAAGTCATTTGTCAGAAGTGGGATTCGAACCCACGCCTCCAGGGGAGACTGCAACCTGAACGCAGCGCCTTAGACTGCTCGGCCATCCTGACTTTCTGCATACCATAGCTACAGTTTCCAATTACTAACCAGTGAGTGGCTGCCTTCAGCCGTGTGTTCAGCAACTGCAGGTTGCATCAACAGCAACATTAACACATGATTATGCTGTGTAGGAACTGTGTGACAAGGTAGTGTGTTCCATAGTTTTGGGGCGTAGTTGACAAAGGCTGCATTCCCGATCTTCTTCAAGCTGTTGCTGGAACCCTCCAATAAACCAGCAGCAGATGATCGCAGTGTTCTTGGAGGCAAATAGTTAACAAGGGAATTTGCAATGTAGCTTGGTCCCAGCCCATGTAGGGCTTTGTATACAAGGAGGAGGAGCTTGAAATCAAAATCTAAATGTAACAAAACCAGTGCAGAGCAGCTCAGAGTGGCCTGATGTGCTCTCTCCCCTTGGTTCTGGTTTGTAGCCAAGCTGCAGAGTTTTGAATATGACTAGATCATATTAACTTCAACTACGTCACTGCCCAGAGAGCAAGTACTGAGACAACAAATTGAGATTCAGCATGTCAACAGAGGTGAGGAAAGCATATCACATATGATGGAATGTGATATTTCTGCTGAGAAAATTCATCTGTCAGAAGTGGGATTCGAACCCACGCCTCCAGGGGAGACTGCGACCTGAACGCAGCGCCTTAGACCGCTCGGCCATCCTGACATTATGCAATGCTATATCCACAGTTTCACATTACTAACCAGTGAGTGGCTGCCTTCAGCCGTGTGTTCATCACCTGCAGGCTGCATCAACAGCAACATTAACACATGTTCTGCCGTGCAGGAACTGTGTGACAAGTTCTTCACCCACTTTCATCATGTGACAACACAGAATAAGTGTTGCTGCTGTTGTTGTTTTCTCTGTGCATTTTAATGCCAAGTGTGAAACTCTCACCATAAAAGTGTTTTCTCCCTAAATTCTTTGCAGACAAATAACCCTGACAGAATGGGTGGGGTAAAATAATCCACATGACTCATCGCTGGCATCACATAACTGCACATAGATGCATCCTGATTCACTCTCACAACACACACAGGCAAGATTATCCATGAACCAAATGTCCCATACGAGATGATCCCATCACAACAGGATGAAGAAATCCTATTGAGACTGGTTTAAAGTACAAAACAGATCACATGCCAGTGAGCTTTCCTGAAGTCTGATGACAACATGGCCTCACTCAGAGGGGAGAGTGATCTGTGATACATGGTGTCCACTGCAAGCGCCCAGAACTAACTTCACCGGTTATGTCCGGGAATGCTTCCTATTAAGCCTTGGAATCTGTATTCTGCATTTCTATTGGCTGTTGACTCAGAGGCATGTGTGGCTGTCCCTTATCCTTTGTTCCTTTTTCTTTTTTTCTCAAACAAATTAATAATCATTGATCACTGATGATTCTTTGGTTCTGTCAGTCTTATTCATGATCCCACGTGACTGTCGATGAGACTTTTTAAAATGGTCAAAAATGTTACAGTCAAAACCGAGCTTATCCTGACCTTTATTCTGACAAGAAATGGATTCTACATTAAAATTTATTAACGAGCATCTTATTTTAGACCCTGCCTGCCTGGGAAATACCTGCGTCTTTCTCACCTCTAATTTGTAATGAAGGATTCCTACGAAGAATTTGTAGGAAGGACAATATGGCTGTAAATTTGAATTTTAAGTATTTTTTCTGGAGGAGGACGCAGAACTTCCACTAATTTCTGTTGTTAAGCTGGTGTGTAGACTCAAGGGCAGTTTCTGTAGACGCTAACACTAATGAATACCACTGCAGTGCCCGTTCAAGACATGCCGGTTTGGAACCAGCCTGTGGTATCACTGCTTCCAGCTTTCTCCAGAACAACTTCACACTCGTCACTGTGCTTCTTCGCATCCTGAGCACACACACCATCATGATGTTTAGATATGATTTCAATCGTGATGTTTAGACATGATTTCAACTCACTATACAGTGAAATAGGAAACAAAAGGCTCCCAAAGTGCATTGCAACTGAATGGTATATTACTTCTATTAAAGACGAAAACACTGTAATACTACATTTAACCTACATGACACAGACATGCTACAGGTTTCATTGCAGATTAAGACTGAATTCACAAAATATAACAATTCAAGTGAGTAGAAAAACGTGGGACAGACAGAATGACTGACTGACAGAATGACACACTGACAGTTTCCATGATTATGTACAGCATACCATACCATGACTTAGTCATACCAAAAATTAGAAGAAAAACAACAACATTGGTCCACAGGGAGAGCCACAGCGATCGGTCGCATTTTAGCCATTTTAAAGCATTTTTCTGTTGTTATAGCGCCACCCAGTTGCCAATTAGAGTTAAATTTCTCCAGTCACCTTGAGGCGTCCTGTTCTACATATCTACCAAGTTTAGTAAAAATCCATATGGTGGTAAGGCCTAGATAAGAAATGAGCGCCCCCATTTTGTTTGATGGGGTCAATAATGGAGGGGTCACCTTTATGTGATGAGCCACGCCCTCCGCAATATTCATTGCCTTATAGAAGCTCAGCTTTAGTAAGTTTTCCAACTTTTGGAACATACAGGGGCATGAGATATGCCCATTCAAAGTTTGCAATTTCAATGGGTTGCTATAGCGCCCCCCTTTGGCCAACTGATGTAATATTGCTTCATTGGCATCCTCCCATGACCCTCTACCACTGTGCCAAATTTCACATGGATTGACCAAGTCAGTGAGGAGAAAAACATGGAACAGATACACACACACAGTTTTCGTGATTATATAGTAAGATAGTTTTACTTAACATTACTGAACAGAGAGACCAAGAGTCCTTGCTTGCGTAGATGAGAACATGCTTGACTCTGCAGAGCCCTGAAGCCCCGCCCCCGCCTCTGCAAAGAGCGCTTTATTAGTTTATTAATATTAAATGTGTCGAGATTTGATGTGTTACTTGTCA